TCGTTAAAAACCTCCTTAAGTTTTTTTTTTTTTTTTTTTTTTTTTTTTTTTTTAATTCCTACAGTGTACACACTAAGTACCTACACGATTACAAACACGATTTATTTAATCATCGTTATAAATATAATTTTTAATAATCGTTTATTATTCGTTTACTAGCCATGGAAATAGAACAAATTATTATAATTATTATTTATCTCTTACAAAGTCAGTAGTTTTTAATTAATTCAATAATTGTTTTTTACTTTGATATTATTCATAGTGATTAAAATTGTAAAAATTGTAAAAAAAAATCAATTGCAATAACGATATTATTGAAAAATTACAAAGAGGAGTGAAAAAAATTTTTCTCTTTAAATATAACCCCGAAGTCTTGAGCACGCAAAACACAACGTAGTTTTTATTTTATTTTATTTATATTATATATGTGTATTAAATATATTTTGTGGTACCTATTTTCCAAGCATGTATACGACGATTATTAAAAGCTCTCATTAATAAAATAACTACAGCTAAACGCATTAATAATCGATAAACTTTAAATTGATCGCAAAAGTTGACAGTATTATTGTTGTTTTACTTAATATTTTTTTTGTGATTGTTATTATTACTCAATTACTTCATTGTTAGTTGTTGTGCTAGCCTTACATAAATAACGATACACTCACAAACCGACATAATGATGTAAACTACTTTATCTATCTAAATACCACTAGTATATATAATATATAAATCATTAAATCACCCTCTGATAGTAATAATAGTAATTCTTATTATTTTAGTTATAATGTAATATAATAAAAATTTTTATTTAGCTTATTACTGTAATATTAATAGTTTTTTTTTAGTCTCGTTAATTAATCTTTAAATCAATAATCTTCCTACACGCATTTCATAATAGAAAGGTATCTAAGACGTATGAAATTTGTTTGCGTATATTTTTAGATTCTCATCACATTACATCGGCATACCTCGTATTTAAATATTAAAACACACTGCGAGTTGCAAGCAATCAGTTAATCCAAGCACATTTACGCGTTTTCTAATACATTATTATTAAAACTTTAATACATATTATTATAACTTTTTTGTTTCTAGTATCTTTTTATTTATTAAATATTGTTAACTCTTTCGAACGCTGATTTACATTCACATTCATTTTAAAACAATTGTTATTATTAATTGTAGTTTATATTTTATTCGCTCAAGTTTTATCGTTTCAATGCACCATACTACTTAATATCTTTGTTAAAAAATTTTTATGCATTAACTATCATAATTATAATCATCATCATTATCATCATCATCATCATCATCATCTGGTCATCATCATTAAGTCTGTCTTTCGTCTTGTGTACTTAAATTATAACTAATTGTGATTTTTGATCTGATTGATTTAATTTTTATAATCAATTAAATTCCGCAAAAACCTCTTAAATATTAATGTCCCGTGATTTATATTATTATTATATTTTATATTTTTCATGTTATAATTAATTATTATAATGAATTACAGCAAAGGTATGTTGACATTATCAGTTAATTGAATCATTGTAGGCTAGATACAAAATGTGCAAACAATTATTTTGTGAGACAAAAGTGCTAACAATCAATTTAATAAGCTTATTGAAGATAGATATGTGAACTAAAAAAAAAAAAAAATGTTTTTCAAATATTTTAATTAAAAATGACAAAGTAATTATAGCAATAACCAAAAAGGAAAAAAAATGAATTATCAAATTTGAAAAATAAAAGTGAAAATTTAAAGAAAATTTAAATTAGTCTGTTATTATTTAGGTTTTTTTGTACCTTTGCAATTTTTCGATGCCAATGTTTCGGGACTGAGGGAACGCGCCCGTCTTTTACGAGTAGACTCAGAGTCCCGACCAAATTTACTCGTACTTAAGAAATGTATTCGTTTTACCATCACGCTGACCTGGATGATTTTGCCATGTACCCTGCGAAGCGTTTGGATTATTGGGACCACCAGGTCCACCAGAACCCGGATTACCGGTGTTGGCATCACCGCCGCCGCCGCCTTGATTCATCCAGCTGAGAAATCCAGAGTTACCACTATTCCCGATACTATTGTTGCCAGATGGTGGTTGTCCAGGTGGTCCAGGTTGGTTGGAGTATCCCTGATCGTTACCCTGGCTCTGGAGATTACCAATGAGTCCCCATGAAGCTTGATTAATCGCTGCTGCAACGAGAGCCGGATTGACAGGCAGTGCTGAGAGGTTTATGCCACCCATTGCCAAGGGGTTCGACATACCACCTCCACCGCCACCTCCATTATTCTGTCCAGTGATTCCCAAAGCTTGTAGATTAGGCATATCCAAATTACCTCTATTACCGGGATTATTCCATCCGTTTGGGCCCATATTGTTCCCAGAGTGACCCATGTAACGATTTCCTTGGTAGTTTCCCTGCATATTGTTGTCTATTGGACCACTCATACCTCGGCCACGCATATTTGAGTTCATCTGATTGTTAAAGTTACGATTGTTACCCTCGGATTTAGGCGCTGCATTGGACACGTGGACCGATACGCCCTTTATTATGTGGTCTTCACCACACAGTGACTGGGCTACCTCGGGATCTAAGAAGGTTACGAACGAGAATGCACGAAATGGCTTTGGAATGAACACATCCGTAACTTCACCAAACTTTGAAAAGTAGTCACGTAGATCGTCGGCTGTTAAATCTTCAGTACAGCGTCCCACGAATACCTTGCACGGTACTTGTTGAATCATTCCCTCCTACACACAAACGCACAATCAATCAAACTTTTTTACGAACTTTATTACTCTTTTGATAAATTTTAATACTTGTTCAGTGTTTAGTTTTTTTGATTTTAATAAATTTAATACCAAATATTTTTATTGAATTTAGTATCTTAAAAAAAGAAAAAAATGTATATTAAAAATAACTATCCACACAAACAAGTATTAAATTCATCTGCCTAAAATATTATCTTTTTTGGTATACAAAAATTAATAAATACATGACCCGTAAAATTTAGCAGCCCCATTAATTTATGTAATACATTATGATAGTTTCATTTATAATTGTTAATTAAAACTAATAATAATTAATTCAACTAAATTAATATTAATAATAAATCTTAAATATATGAGTAAGAATTCACCAGTTTACAATAATTAAATTGATATTGTTATTTTAAATACAAATTTCGCGGCAAGGATACATATGCTTTTAAGATACATATCAATTAATGACTATTGTTATATGTACATAAAAAAAAATTTATTTAATTGAATCAGCGAGAGAATAAATTTTCTTTACTACTAACTAAAGTTAATTTTATTTCTTCGCTACAAAAAAAAATACATTCTTTCACTGATTCAATTACATATTTCATTATTTATATAGCATTCATGTTAAACCATAAAAGTAACAATTGAAAAGAAAAGTATTATTTAATACTTAAAAGTTATTTATAAGTAAAATAATCTTGATAAAAAAAATTGGCGACGTCAATTAATAGTTAAGAGCAAACGTCTACATAGTATTTAATCATTGATATTAATATTATATGCACAAATGTAATATACATAATTCATCTATTATATATAAAATTCCTGTACGCTTACAATTAAATATTTAGTATTATTATGCTGATTAAACTAAACAGTCAAATTATTTAAGATAAAAAATGAAAAATATTAAAACTACAGTAGTAATAAGTGTAATATTAATTGTAAATATTATTATTTAATTGTAGTTAATATTAAACATTTGCACTAGATTAAAATTAAACAATTTAATCATCAATATCTCGAGCTTTCAGACGCATGATGTTCTCTCGCCGGTCGATGCTTGTAGTAGCGATCGTAATAATTTTCCTTGACGGGATATCTTCCGGATTCGGAGTATCTTCCGTCAACTCTACCCTCCATGTACCTATTGTCTCCATCACGTCCGTCGAATCTTAAATCATCTTCCCCGGTACCACCAGCATTACCGATACCGCTGCCACCTCGACCATCCGAGTATCGTCTGTCAGGTTCTCTACTGTCCATAATAGGTTCTCCACGTCCGTCAGTGATACTTCTTATGTCGTGACGTCCATCAGAGTACCGTAGATCCTGACGAGTGCCGTCAGGCAAATACCGGGTGTCCGCAGAGTCGTAGTAATTTCTATCGTATCCACCCCCGTATGCGTAGCGTGATTTTTCAGCGTATTCAGCGCTCTCAGGTCCACCTGGGTATGCTGATGGACGTCCGTCGTAATTTGGATACCTAGAGTAGTCAGTATCGTGAGGGAAATTAGTACCAGGTGGTGGTGGTGCTTGTGGCGGTACGTGAGATGTCATGAACCCACCTCCACCACCACGAGAATCATAAGCACCCTCGTCGTAGCCTGGATAAGCTTGCTTGTCGTAATTTCCGTAACTCGGATGACCTGGTTGCTGGGCGGACGGCTGATGCGGTGGCATCGATTGCTGCTGATGCTGCGGTTGATGATGATCATACTTGAATTTATTGTTCTCGTCGTATGGGTAATTCGGTGGATACGAGGGGTAATGGGTTGTTTTGAAATCGTAATCTTGATCGTAACGCGGTGATGGATCGGAGTTTGCATTCATAAACTGTTTGACCACTGGCAGACGCCGGCTACTTGGCGTGTGAACCGGTATCGGACGGTAATATTCATTGTGTTTACCCGGTTCAAACTGTCGGGCCAGTATTAAGCCATCAATATTCTGTAACCAGACACACCATCCCTCGACAATAGTTTTTTTTTACAAGTTTTAATATTAAGTACGGCTTATGTTATGTAACTAATTTTTTTTTTTTTTTTTTTTTTTTTTCAATACACAGATATGTTTTTTTTATTTTTTAAGATAGTTGAGATCTTGATTCATTTTGAAAAATATTTTGATTTTGATAATTGATAAAAAAAAAAACTTTAAATTTAAGAATAAGTAGCTTAATAGAAAAAAATTTTTATAAAAATTAACGTATAATTTTATTTTAAAAATTTTTCAAAAAACTTTGGAATAAAATTAAATAAAAATTGAATCACTAAATAATAAAAAAATGTTAGCTTAAATTAATGCTTTTTTATAGCACCATATAAATAATCAATAAACATCAGTATTTAGTTATCCAATGTAATTTTTGTTTTTAAAGTTTTTTTTTTTTATATTAAAAATATTTTGCTTAAAAATCAAAATATATGTTACTGATGAGTTTAGGATGCTAAAATTGATATTCGAAGTGTATTAATTGAAAAAAATCTCAACTCCCTTAAAACAAACTAAATTAAAGCTCTGAATAACATCAAAATTCATTATATATAAATGAATTATTTGAAAAATGTCATATAGAACTCGCAAATATAAGTATCATTCTCGAATACACTCAACACACATACTCCCGTACGTTCAACTCTGGCTTACAGTCATATCGTCGATCAGTCGCACCCACACTCATACCCTAACAGCTAAATGTCTCTTGGAGTTTTCTAAATAAAGATAATAAAAAAAGTACTCTCCTGCTGGCCGGAAAGTTATGAGCAGGATAACATATATATATATATAAATAGTACACATGTATGTATATCTATAGGCATGTTATAAATAAGTAAAAGCATGACAGCGGACGGCAATCAACTAAATCAAATAAAATATCAACACACGTTTTCATCATTCAGGTTTACTACTATATTTATTGTAATCGCGAAACACTATCTGATGTGTTATTAATACGAGTATCATCTTCAAACGTTTGCTATTAATTCTGTTCACATTCTCTGTAGTCACACGAGATTGAGAAAAATCATTTTCAGAATGAGTATTTACTGGTTTTATAATGAGATTTCGCTACAATTATTTTCAATAACTTTAAACACACACAGCGATTGAATGTAATGAACTAAAATAAAATAATTTAAAAATATGTATATAAATAACGTATTACATGAAAAATTTCACACGCATTCTGTTTTCGCTTGACAATTATATAAAAAAATGTTCAATCAAAAGAGTATCATACTGGTAAACATGCAATTGTTACTTTGTTGTACTACAGTAAATAATAAGTCAAAATACCCAAAAATAATACCGTATAAACGCGAATTGCCTGTATCAATAGTGTAATAAAAATAATTATTCGATTACAAAACGTTCTTCCTTAGAAATTTAAACCGTGTTTAACTTCAATTATTCATTGCATCCAAAAGTTGATAAATCAATAGTTGAATTTCATTTACGAAGCAAGTAATTCAACAGTAATCACTCAAATAGCGGAGTCACACTTTCAATTATCAATATCCATACAATCTCCTCACCACCATCGTCATCATCATCATCATCATCATCATCATCATCATTGCTCACGTACGCTCGCTCTTAACATCATTGTCGCCTTAATTTCTCTCATATTCATTTCTCTCCTCTCTTCATTCCGCATTCATCTATTTACACAGTTACGTTCGCACTCGATACATAAAAAATAATACTGAATCACTCTTCCATGAGATACCGATCGCATTTTTTTTTATTTAATTTTAAAAATGACTAGCAAGTTTTGGAAATACTGATATATTTTTTGGTAGATAAAATAGTAATTAATTTACGTTATTATGAAAATTTAGTATCAAATATTAAATAGTAATAATAATAACAATCGGAATCTCGTACATATTTATTGGTATTAATTAAAAATATCTTACTTATAAACACCATTGATAACTGATGTTCGGTAAATTTGTCTAAATTTATTTTAATATTGTAAATATCGTAATTTAAAAAAATCTAAATCACATGCTTACCTTGCTATTAGGAACCTTGACGTCACACCATCTACCATCAATCATGTGCCGTTGAGCAAGACACCGTAATTGTGATTCATAACTTCCAAATCTTATAAATCCAAATCCTTTACTTTGACCTGACTTAGGATCCTTTTTCACCTGATTAAATCACGATAAGAACATCATTATTAGTGTCTGTGATGTATTAATTTGTACAATTCGTATGTGTGAAATATTTAAATGTCTAATAAATTAAAGCGAAATTGAAACATTATAGAGATAAAAAGGTACACTGCAAACATTTGAACAAAGTTAAACATTGCAATAACTCACCTGGGCCATCAGAACCTCGCCAAATGTCTCAAAGTATTCCCGTAAATTTTGCTCAGTTGTTTTCCACGGTAATCCAAGTACAATAAGGTCAGTGCATCGTAATTTTGTTTCCATTCTCTTGGTCTTGGCAGTTGAATTTTCCAAATTGTCATCTGATTTACGTTTGTTTTCTGAAAAAATAATTTATCATTATTTTTTAAATTATTTAACTCACTAAATTATTTACTGCTCATTACTCATAAATAGTTAATGCCAAGTCGAAAAATTCTGAATTAATTTATCATGAACTCGAATTAAAAAATTATACAGTATTAATTTATAAATTATGTTTGAAGTTAGAAAAAAATTTGTTTTAAATAAATAAAAATAGAACAAATAATGGAGTTTTATGATGATAATAAAAAAAGTAACTGGTTCAAAATAAATAACTTGGAAAATGTCGGTATTTTTACGAGAATGTTCGGTATGAATATAAATTAACCAGTTTGTACAGTAAAATAATAATAATAATAATAATAATAATGAAAATAAACTAAACGTGGAATGGCGTAGTATAATCTTATATATATATATATATATATATATATATATATATATATATATATATGTGAATGTTTTTTAAAAAATAATCTACCTTTTGGAAACACGCAAAAATAGACAGCTTTGCCCCAGCCATTTTCCGGCGCATGAAGACGACCATCAACGAGACGCACGCCCCGCATTGTACGTGATTCTGGATTGCGGTATTTGAGACCGCACGTACCGGGAAATTGCGCTGAGAGAGTCGTTAACAATAATGTTGAATCATCCTCCGTTGGGAGTTCTATCGGTTCTTCACCCTCGTCCTCAGCAACCTGGATATACGATGACATTTTGTTTGTTCCACCAGTTGGCTAGTAATACGTATTATATAGAATGGAGGATAGAGCAAACAGAAGTAAAGAAGCAGTAGTTCAGTCAGTAATCTCAGCAATTGGAGTTCACCAAACGTCTCAACTTTTTTTTATTTATTACTTTAGTTTTTTTAGAAATTTCTATCGCTCTCTTGCTCTTAATATTTATATCTTTTCCTTCAATTAATGTATATGATATATTTATATATACTACAATATATAAACTTGGTTGCTCTCTACTCGTTAATGCCTGGCAATATGTGTCTTTTCTTTCTCTCTCTCGTTCTTTCTCGCTCACTCTCGTGTATACTTTCTTGTCCACACTTTTTTTCTTTATTACGTTCTCGCTGGCTGGCTCTCTTTTCAGCTCGCTTAGGTAGGTGACCTTATTATTTTTAGGACCGACGAACACTTTTATTATTATGTAAGGATTTTAATTTTTTAGTTACTTTAGTATAAATATTACTGATATTAAAACTATTGTTTAAAAGAATTATTTAATGGTCGTACAGCATAACAACACACACACGCTCGGACATCGGACAACTCGCAAACAACAACTCTCGCAATCACGCAACAAAACACCGCACCTCTTTCTCTCGCGCTTACGTTGTGAGCCGTGAGTTGTACATCGAGAACGATGAGTCGAATATAATATGTCGAGAGGGGTGGTAGTACGCTAGCGAGAACTCTTGCATTCGGTCGCCAAAGAGGAGACAGAGCTGCTGTCGGGAGGTCGATAACGGAAAACGGATGTCACTAGCGACATTTATGGTAATTCAATAATGCGCGCGCATTCCCGCGCTTTGCAATTTTTATTTAAAAGTTTCATATTCTAAAACTAAGAAAAATAAATAAATATAAAAAAAATTATCTGCAATTTTTTATATAATTTTTTTTTTTACAGTACGAAAAACTCTTTTTAATTGATACAAAAATTATTAATTTTTTGCTGTTTTTAATTTCATTAAAAATTACTAATGCATATTTAATTTTATAAATTAATTTACTTACTTAAAATTGTTATTATTTGTCTTAAAGAGGCTTTGTTGTAATTAATTAATAATTAAAAATAAATAAAAGCTATTACAGTGATTACAAAATATTTTAAATAAAAATAGAAAAGACATAACTTTTTATTTTATGAAAAGTTTTTTTTTGTAGTTCGTTCACGTTAGATGTCTTAGTCAGATACTTTATTTTTCAATACAGAGTAATTTTAAACATAAAAAAAAAATTTTATTTGATTAAAAATATAAATATATATATACCAAACGAAACAGTCTATATTCTTTTTTTATATCGATCGACATTATTTGACAAAATTCATACATTTAATGCCATTACAGATATTTTTCCATTTATTTGGCCCACTAATCATCTTAATTTGTACAACAAAATTGACGTGATATATAGGTATATATAAAAATACTTAAACTTAACACACGCCTATAGAAATAAGATGAGAATGTGTATGTTACCGGTTCATGGTAGTAATCTTTAACTTTAATTTTTGCCTCAATGTCAATCAAATTCAATTCAATTGATTATTTGATAGCCGATGATTCAAGGTGTTGGTTTTAGAATCGGTGAAAAAGCATCGATTACACCATTAGTCAGGCGTTTATTACAGCTTTTGTCGTTGTCATCAGTGAGAATACTATCTCGCAATCTATCGTTCATCGGTTGTAAACCGAGATTTTTACTAAAACTATTACTCATACGGACATTTTCAAATGTACTGTTAAGCGGGTCACGATTTTCATCTGACAATATCACACAATTACTGGGAATTTCTTCTTCATCTGAAGAGCAAAGATCCACTATGACTATCGTCTTATTAAGCGGCTCTTCTATCGTTGGCGTCGAGGATGGAATCCTTGAAATTGGCACCATTGACGGCCGTGAACGGAAATTAGGTGTATATCCACGCTTCAGACTCCCTTTTTTTATTTGATTTATTTCCGGTCCTTGTTCTATAATTGGCATTACTTCCGTTAATCTACTCGAGTATTGTCGTTTTTGTCCTGTCGACTTTCCACTTATTCTCATTATCAACCGTGGTCTTATTCTATGTCGAATTTTCCGTATCGGAGGTTGGTATTTCCACGGATGTTCCTTTAAATCTTGGAGTTGTTCATCAGTTAGTCGATTCAACTTAACAAATGGAGAACCACAGGCAATGTAAAGGATTTGCGAACGTACATCCAGTGCTACAAAGCAAATATTAGCTATTAATAATCTAATCAAATAAACAGTAAAGTAGTTTTTCTTAAAAATAAAAATAAAAATAAAAATAAAAATAAAAATAAAATTTAATCGAGTTTACTTACAAGGCTTACGTCTTACTGCGCCAAATGTATACTGATGAACGTAATCGTCAGTTTGTGGATTTTCTTTACTGGTATTGGGTTTATAAGTAACAACCCACCTACCAGATGACGAAAATTTACCAAACCACTTAGGTCTATTAGTTTTAGTGAGTGCTGGGGCACTCAAGTGCCACTCTATCCTATCAACACGATCACGTTTAGTAGCCTCATTCATTCCTTTGGATTTTTTAACCAGAGCTAGACCCGCTGGCGAGGAAAAAGGAATCGTTGATGAACGACACAGGTTGGCGGATGGTTTCATACGCCGTGAACTTCTAGATGGCTCAGTCTCGATACTTATGGCTGGAATCGATGATGGATCGGTGGTTGTTTTTGGTGGTTGTTGATTGGGTGTTGATAAGTGAAAGTACTCCATAAATTGATTCTGAGTTAAATCTGGTTCAGCTTCAACTTCAGGAGTCATTGGCCGCCAGCAGGTACTGGTTTCCTGGTGTACTGTCTTAACTGTCTCCCCACATGATTTTTCATGATCCTGCAGGAGTATTATTGATACATATTGGTAACAAATGGTCATTTTTTAGTTATTATTTTTTTAAAGTGGAATTCCAATGGTGGAAGTTACGGCGACGTATTTTAGGTACCTTCATCTGTTTTAAATCCAGGAACTCTGCATCACAATTGTCACACAAATAGATCTCTTCCATTTGTGGCTGGATGCGAACCAGGGAGGACGGTGATTGACGGTGGTTCCTCTGTTGCGTCTTTTTATGTTTCGCTTGAGAGTTGGAATTGGCATTGTTTATTGGTAGCAACGATTTCCTATGTGGTTCAATAACTTTATCATAGTCCTAAAATATCAATTTTAAACATTATACAATTTTCATCCATAGCATTATTAATTTTATCAGTTTTTTTTTTTTTTTATATATTGATTAAATAATCGACTAACCATATTCTCATTTCGGAATGTCGCCAACAACTTGCCAGTACTCTTGTGGTAGAGACTGGTCGTCGAGTCCCAGTTGTTGACATAGTAAAGCTTCGCTTGCGGATATTGCGCGAGATATGTGCAAAAACGAAGCAAATATTCGCTTTGATGGAAAGAATAACATTGTAATACAACTCTCCTTAAACATCGCATCCAACTCTGAAACATAAATTTTATTTTTTTTTAGTTATAACGGTCAACAAACAAACAGCTTTGTATATTTATCAGTTTCTAGTTAATTTTAGTTGATAAACCGCCTCGACAAGTATGTAAATTTTAATCCTCAGAACTTAGAGCTAACTACCCGCCATTTTGTTGATGAAATTTAATATCTAACAATTTAAAATTTCCTGATAATGATAATAATTAATATTGTTAATGTTATTATTAACAATACTCTTATAAACATACTTACATCTCCGGATTTCTTAGGTCGCACTAAAGGAATTGAAAATTCCACTTCCGTTGGCCACCACGCAGGTTTATTAAGTACCTGAGTGGTATTATTACCTAATGAACATCTTGTCATAAAGGTGATGAACTTCTCCAACTGTGGCTGTAATTAAACGATAAATATTTTTAATGATTACATAATAATATCATAAAAATAAAAAATAATTTCAAGTAAATTACTTACCAATGTTATTTTTTCTAATGAAGTAGGGTAGCCATTTGCGAAAAGTAAAGGCAGATTATAAACCATAGAACATTCATCTGCAGTACTCTCGCCGACTGGTTCAACTTCACCAGTGGCTGCCATCATACTATCATCTACATTATTATTACTAATATTGTTATTGTTGTTGTTATTATTTGGCTGTATATCCTGCCTTAATCCAACTCCATAGCCATCTTCTTGCACTGCAGAGTACCTCATTGTTTCACAATCGGCATCATTTACTCTAAGCTCATCTATTTTAGTTATTATATTTACTTATAACAGATTGATACTCGTTTTAATTTGATAATGCCCATTGTCTTGCCTCTATTCTTGTGCCAAGCCTTAAACAAAAAAAAACTTTTATTAAAAATCAATAAAATTAATCTCATTTTTATGAATTTTCATAAATAAATTAAATATTCATCAATTATCAATTCATTCATCGTTAATTAAACAAAATCTTGAATTGTGATAAATTATAATTAATTGTAATTCTTATCATTGTCAAGCTTTGTCAATGAATATTAATTAAAATATAAAATATTATAAGTTAAACAATCACAAGAACATGTAAATTTTTTAAATTACAAAATTTAAGCAGCGTTGATAAATAACTAATTTAACTTTTGTCAACAATCAAGTCTGGCAATAAAACAATAATTCAGAATAACAACAGCAGTATCAATAATTGATTAATAGACAGCATCATCCTTTAATTACCATCAATTAAGTTAAGCCAAATTATGAAAACAAAAAAAAAAAAATTCTGAAACATGAAAAAAAAAAAAAATAATTCTTTCTACATAATTACTAAGTACGAAATTAGAAACAAAGGAAGGTTAATGATTTTATTGTTAAGCTTACCTTTTTTTTCTATCAGCAAAATAAGCATATATTATGAAATCTCCATTGATTTGAGATTTTTATTTGCTTAAGTATTAGCTAACAATTAAATTTTGATACACACGGCTACCATTTTTACTTATAAAAAGTCAACAATTATTTTATTTTTATATTAGGTTGTAGAAATTTGCTCCTTGCTAAACTCTACGTCTATGTACACTGGTGCATGTATGTGTGTATGTATATATATATTAAACTAAAGAAAGTACACGTAAGTACTCAAGCGAATTTGAAGCACTATCACGCAGCAGAATCATCGTATACGCATGGTCACTATATTATTTAAAATATTTTAATAACGGCTGACTATTGTTAGTTCCAATTGATCAGTCTTGAGTGTAATGTGTTGATGATGATTATGATAATTAAATAAAATCAGAACCACTTTTTATTGGTGGTTTATACTGAGTACTGATGAATACCGGGAATTGACGTAATTTATCAGCAGTACTAAAAGCACAAACGCGCGCACAAACCTGTATTAAGTAAATGCGAGTCCCTAGGAAGTAGGAAGCTAAAAAAAAAAAAATGAGACCACTGTAAGGTTAACTAATTCCAAAAGCTACTGATTACAGCTTTAAACAATATTATTATTTGTTGAATAAATATATAAGAGTTACAGTAGTTATATCATTGAATTTCAACGTCAATATAATTAACGTTTGTATTTGTTGTTAATATTATTGTTATTGCTAATTACGATAACGATTATTGTTGATAACTAATTAATAAATAATTGTGTGTATAATTTATGTAAATAATTTTGCGCGGTACTTGACTGACAGCTCCCTCGTCACAAATTTATACAATTCTATCGTCGAGAGTATAACGCACTACACAACTATAATCATAAACGAAGAGACGAAGAGACCAAAGCAACAAAAAATCAAAGCACCACAGACCACAGAGTATGACCCAAGATGGCCGCCGATGTTGAAACCTAGCACCCTCCTTTAGCTGTTTCCTACGCTACGGACTTGAGTCAACATTTTTTTCACGCTTTATTGAGTTTGTATTTTGCTTTAAACCCTGTCAGTCCCGTTAAATTTTACAGTTTCAACATTTTCACCTCAATTTTGTAAAGCTACCACGAGCTTTAGCTTCTTTTAATTAACTAATTAATTATTCACGCCTCGTGGTGATTTGGATTGTAGTTTTTATTTTGGATCATTGAAAATGCTTTGAAAGACGAGAAAGGCTGATACTTTTAAGCGCGTTGGTATGCTTGCTTTTTTAAGTTAATAATAAGGAGAATTACGCTGTAGAGGTTGAGGCCCTCTATCCCTTCTACTGATTCCTGATATTCCTGATTGGTCGCTTAGGCTGGCTGCAATGCTGCTGCTGCTGCTGCTGCTGCTGATCAACCAGACAATGGAATTGGAAATGACAGGAACGCCACCATCGGAAAAATGAGAACTTGGAAAATTTTATACCAAAATTTCTCTCGCATGTACTGTGTGGTAGGATTATATACTTTATAATACGGGATTTTATGGATTAAGAGCATGCTTTATCGTTTTATCAATACTGTTACACGTGGGAAGCTTTTAGCTGCTCCGTTCTTCAGCGTTCCATTTATCATTATTGAAATTCAAGTTTATTTTTAGAATTATGATATTTTTTTTATGTAATTTTGATGATATTAATTAGTAAAATTTTAATAATTCATTAAATGTTGTTACTTTTAAAAAGAAAATTTTTAAAAATCATTATTTTTAATTAAGTAATTAATTAACTAAGATGATGACTGATATTCTCTGATCGATATTCCAACGGAATAAAATAATTAAATAGGCGCGATACTGGGTCTATTTTTGCCGAGGCAAAATGTCGAAGCTGACACGCTTAGATTTTTTTTTTTAGTTTGTGGCATGAAGAAAAGAAGAAATAAAAAAATACAAATATCTTTTAAAAAACTTTTAGATCAGAGGTTTCTGTTTATTCAACAATTTTCTTACAGAGTATCATGTTAATTCATTAATGATTTTTTTTTTTTTTTTTTTTTTTTTTTTTTTTTTTTTTGGTGAGTGAGAAAAAGGTCAGTTGATTAAGTCGTCAGCGTGTATTTACAAATAATTATGGTTTATTATAAATCATCTTCATGAATGGGAAATCGGAATACTGATTTTTCGCTGGAAGTCAAATCAGTTATGTGGATATTTAAATTAGCTTCTGTTAAGTCTGTATCAACCTTTAGTTTTCCTGGAGCCTTTAAATGGTACGAAATCTAAAAATAAAAAAAAAATTATAAAATGATGAAATTTCCACATCCAATCTGTAAAAAAATAAATTAAACACTTACCAATCCAATTTTCTTGGTAACTTCATTGCCATTATCTTCAGTTTCAAAAACATTAATTGATATTTTATCATCGGTAATATTTGGTACATCAATGGTAGTTTGAATTTTAACAGGCACTATTGTATCTTTAGGTATAACAATACATTCAATACCACTAAATTCAACACAAATCGATTTAGCTAACGAATAAATTTCAACATCAGTTGAATTCAATTCACGATCATGCATTCCATGAGCCAGTAGATGAGATGAGTGTATAGCAGCACCAACAGCCATCGTTTCATCAGGGCTCCATCTGCTTGTCAAGACCTCACCAGCTGGGAATATTGATCCGATTTTTTCCTGGAGCTTAGGAATTTTCATCGTACCACCACACAATATAATTGATTTAATATCAACCACTGTCTTAGACGAAGAATTAAGTATGTCCATAATTGGTTGAATATAATCAGAAATATGTGAGCTAATAAGATTTTCAAATCTTGCACGTGTAATATTGTGACTAAAGTCAACACCTTCACAAAGCGACTCAACAAAACAATGTGCCGTGGACATTGTTGATAAAACATGCTTACATTTTTCAGCTTCGCTTTTCAATTTAGCTATTGAACGTCTGCTCTCAGTTGGATCTATTTTATATTTATTCCTAAATTCCTGGGCTAAGTATGACGTTAATAAGTCAGTCAATTTATGACCACCTAATTCTGGGTAGTATTGATCTGATAAAACTTTCAATGAACCACTAGTTACTTTTACCAGACTAATATTACTCGACACACCACCGACTCTGTAGACTAATACCAATCTAAAATAATTAATAAGATATTATTAAAATATATATTAATAATTTAATGCTTTGATTTTTTTTTTTTAAGTTTAAAAAAACTTACTCATTTTTCTTTTTATCCTTAGCAATTCCGTGAGCAAGGCAAGAAGCCACTGGCTCACCAATAGCTTGAAGTACTTTAAAGCCAGCAGTAGTAGCAGAATTACACCAAGCTTTTATACTATCAGGATTAAACCTATACGGAACACAGAAAACGATATTGTGTTCATCGTCGTCATGAGCAGCAGTAGTAGATATATCGTACATCGCTCTAAGTAGCAATGACGATATTTTTTGTGGAGTAAACGTTTCATTTTTGTCATTTACTTTAATACAATACTGAAGACTTGATTCGTTAATTATTTTACTTGTACTATTTTTGATCGCATCGTCCAGTTCTTTGCTATCTATCTCTTTGTTCATCAAACGTTTGTTATTTGTTATCGTACTCAATGCATTTCTGAACTGGCCAGCTTTTGCCGCTGCTCCAATCACCTAGATTATATGAAATTACATTATTAATAAATATTTAAGTTCCAAAAAATTATAAAAAAATAATTTTATCAATAATTAAAAAATTATTAGAGTATTTTAATTGAATATATTAATTTTTTATAAACTAAGCTTAACCTATAGATGTAACCTAAAAAATAAACATAAAAAAAATAAAAAAAAAAACAAACCTTCTCGGAGTTAGTAATAGTGATGACAGCAGCGGTAACACGATCTCCAGCATGATTAGCGACAACATCCACGTTTTCATCCTGTAATAAGTATCAATTAATATAATTAATATAATAAATTATGCATACAGGTGGTTTTGAGGTTAACACGTGTACCGACTTAAATCTTGCTCGATATTAAATAAATTAATTTACTTATGCTTGAAAATTAATTATTATTTAATTAATAGAGTACTCACTTTATAAAGAGCTAAACAAGCAGATGTATTTCCTAAGTAAAGTCCAAAAGAAGCCCCGGCCATAGTTACTGTTTACAAAAAGTATAAAAATAAAATATAACCCAAGCTGTTAACCAGACATACGAAGACACAAACGTGTGTGTAACGTGCCGGACCGCGTGCAAGTGCTATTGAGAAATAAATTAACTGCGCATGCGCTCAGTACTTTAAATATGGGGGCTTTAATTTTATTTAGCGGGAAATTTGAGTATTTAGTCTAGGAACATTTAGAATTTATTCTAGAGTTATTTTAGTTTAGTTATTTATTACTAAAAATAAACTAAACACACAAACACACATGGGTTTTGGAGAGATTAAAAAATACTTTCACTTAGCGATAATTATTTAATATAAATATTTTATTGTTTAGATTTACTTATATAAGTTGTTATAATTTATTTAATTATTATTTATGTTAATGGTTAATTTCTATTAATCAAGGTATGATTAAAAACGTCGTAGTTGGGTTATCTGGTGGAGTTGATAGTGCTGTATCAACAATTTTATTAAAACGCAAAGGTATTTATTTATTTTGAAATAAATTGTGTAATTATTTATGACATTTTTAAATTAGCAGACACTTAAAATTTTTTTAGGAAATTATTTTTAAAAAATTGCATTTATCATTTTTTAGAGCTTCTAAAAATGGAATTTTTTTTTTATAAATTTTTCTTGGCATAATTTATTTATTTAAAAAATTCTAAAAGATATCCGATGTTTCTAAATTTCGGTATCATAATTAATTTTTTTATAAATTGTTTAAGGTTTTAATGTGACTGCTGTTTTCCTAAGAAATTGGGACACTGCTGATGAAACAGGGAAATGTTTAGCTGACGAAGATTACAAAGATGCTGAATTTATATGTAAAAAGCTAGATGTGCCTTTGGTAGAAGTCAATTTTGTAAAAGAATATTGGAATGACGTATTTAGGTATGGTTATATTTTATTATGATTTATAAATTTAGGGTTGATGTGTATTTATTTAATTAATTTTGATTTCAAGTTATTTATTAGGTGGTTATCAAAATGGTATTACACCAAATCCTGACGTTATATGCAATAAAAATATAAAATTCAATAAGTTTTATCATTATGCACGGAATCACCTCAAAGCTGATGCAATTGCTACTGGACATTATGCAAGAACGTCTTTTGGACCTTTTTTGGAGCACTTTAATCCTGATAAAGGTATTTTCAATCTGAAAAGTAATTATTTTGTATCTGAATAAGATAATAAAGTTAGTTTATTAAATTTTAGGAGTGAGATTGCTGAAAGCTCGGGATGATTGGAAAGACCAAACGTTATTTTTAGCTCAAGTCCAGCAAGAACCGCTCCAAAGGTGTATGTTTCCCATAGGAGACTACGTAAAAAAAGATATTAAGAAAATAGCGATTGAAGAAGGTTTAGATCGAATAGCTGCTAAAGATGAGAGTATGGGAATTTGTTTTATAGGTAGCCGAACATTTCAAAGTTTCATATCTGAGGTTTTATATTTTATTTTATTAATTATTTAAATCGACCATTAGAGCTTTTAAACATTAATATATTATCAAAAGTATCTAGAAGATAAACCTGGAGACTTTGTTGATATGGAAACGGGTCGAGTTGTTGGTAAACATCGAGGTATTCACCATTGGACATTAGGACAACGATGTCGTATCACCGGACAGGCAAAAGCATATTTCGTTTATAAAAAAGACGTTGAGACTAATACGATATATGTAGTAAGTATTTTTATTTTATAAAATTTATTGTGGGGTTAATAGTATTCTGGCTTTTTAGTAAAAATAAATTTAACAATTCTTATTATGTATACTATAAAATAAAATTTTTAAACTCTTTGTGCTGATAGGCTATGGGTCATGATCATCCTGCATTATACACACATACAATAATAACATCAAAACCTCATTGGATTTTTCAAGAACCGCCCGAATTATTAAATAGTCATGGAGTGCTACATTGTGATTTTAAATTCCAACATATCGAAAATTATTCTCGGTGTAAAGTTTATAAAACAGCCAATCAGGAATTAATTATTTTAGTTGATGAACCCAAGCGTGCTGTTTCACCAGGACAAGTAAGATCTTAAATGATAAACCATTAAATAATTATTATTTATCATTATTTTATTAATATAAATAATTAATGAATAATTTTTTCAGTTCGCAGTCTTTTTTGTAGGTGACGAATGTGTAGGAAGTGCACCTATTGTTGCTCCAGGACCATCGCTGTTTAGTCTCGGAAAATCATTATCTTTTAATACCGAAAGCAATCATCAAGTTGCTGTACATATGTGAATACTTTAATAAATCATGATAAACAAAAAAAAAAAATAAATATTAATTAAAGCTTAAATCTAATGTTTTTTGACACTTTGCTTCAAACCTAATGATTCAATCCAATCAGAAGGAGCTACTTGAATACTTTGGTTTGTTTCTACTTTAAATGCATTTCCGGTATTTTCACTGACAAATTGTTTACCGTCATCGGAGTATTCTCCGGTAAATTTATGATCAATATATAATTTAGATGCTTTCAAAATTAATTTTGCATCATTGTCCTCTGGAATTGTCAAGCTTACATCATTCTGAGACTTTATTTCTGAGTCGCCAGTTAACCTAACGAGTTGGATTTTAGCTGGACCATCTTGTAAATTAGCCTGTAGAGATCCATCGAGACAGGCTAGAATTAAAAAAAATTATTTGTTTATTTAATTTAGACCCATAAATAAACTTTTTATTATTAAATATTTACAAATTTTAAGTGATCCAGTGCCGGTGATGTCGATAGTTGAATTTAAGTGTAAATTGTTAAGGTACATATTGCCATTTACTGTTGAAAATGTTGATCTTTCACAATAATTGCTACCGAGATTAATGTCACCATTCTCTGTTGATATATCCAATTCATTGCCTGCACATTTATCTGTCGTCACAGCCTATGATAACAAAAAAAAAAATCATTATTATTTTGGTAATAGAAAGATTATTACTGATATATTACTAATAGTACTTATTAATTTTCATAAAAAAAAACTATTTTACAAGTCAAGAATAATCTATAGGGGCATTATTAATTTTATCTAAAATTTATCAGTCTTCTAATTAACAACTTAACAATTTTTGTAATTGAAATTGATGGTGGTTGTACTTTTAATTCAAGATAAATTATTTTTGAATTTTTTTTAGTTTGTAGAGGTATTAATAAAATCAACAACATGTCGTTAATTAAACTAATAATAAGTGTTAATTGACTCTGATTCTCTGATACTAAATAAAAAAGTTTCGAAAAATAAATGCCAATAATAGAAATAATGAATAATAATAACTCCGTCTCCAGCAGTATTAATTTCAATATTTCCTTGAACTCCTTTCTGCAAAGTGATCGAACCTCCTTCACTGGACGAAAAAACAATATTTTCTCCTTGCAATTTAGCACCAACAATACTTCCATACTCGGTTTGTACATTAATACTACTTGATATCAGCCCAGAAATAGCTACATTTCCTTCTCCCACTGTCTTTGCATCAATATCTGTAAAATGTCATCTTATTAAAATTATGTATGAAAATTTATTTACAGTGACTAATAATTTATAACAATTACCATATCTTACAGGTACTTCGATGACACACTTGATATCTCCAATGTAATTATTTTCAAGAGCTTCAATTTGCGTTACATCGGAAACATCAACCTTTATTAAATCATCTTTCATATCAGTTACTTCGTTAGAAAACAATTTAACCAGCAGAGTATCCATATTTGGATATTTATGAGGGTCTGTTGCTTTTATTTCAACATTGTAGGGCAAATTAATATTTAACTTGCCAAACGGATTAACTTTTTTTTCAATGGTCTGAATCGCAGCCGATGAACACAACCTCAACGTTGTACAAGATAGCGATAATCGTGTGCTCCTGTTTAAGTACGACCGTGTCGCGGAGAATAATTGTTTCGACAAGACCCGCATTTTTAATTATTACCTTTTCAACTTAATTAATCGTTTATCTCATTACATTCGGCACTTGATGGAAGTCGAATTGCTCACGTGTTTGACAGAAAAAAATGAGTCGCAAATCTATCCGGGGGTCTGACGAAATTTATTGACAAGTTTTTAAATTCCGGAAGCAGCGCCATCTAAGAAATAGTTCTTAAGACTGACGCAGTCGCGCACATGTTCAATTTTTATAGAAATAGCGGGTTGATACTGAAGTTGACAGACATTAGAAATTTTTTTAGAGTTTTTAACAATGAAATTATTATGAAAAAAATTTATTAAAAAACTTCCAAATGTGAAAATTTAAATAAATTATTAATCATAATTTTTAAAACTATTTTTTTTTAATTAAAATTGATTTTTTATAAAAATTAAGAAATTTGACAACTGTCAGCTAGCTTCTGTGTATAATAAGAATGAATTTAAATATTTGAGACATACTTTTGGGAATATTCACAATTAGATAGCTTCTTAGGATGTTAAAAAACGACTTAACTCCAGTCTAGAAATAAATTGCTACTGTAGGTTTTTGTTAATTCATGAAAATTAAGTTAGCCGACATTTAAAAATTTTTAGAATTATTTTTTATTGAAAAAATCATTACAAATAAATAAAAAAAAAATTTTTACTTGTAAAAAACTTGAAAAGCTGTAAGTGCAATTTTTAAAAAATATTTTTTTGTTCTAATTTAATTATTAAAAAAAAATCAAAAAATTAAAAACGTCGGCTAATTTTAGTATGATACAATTGACATAATTTAATAAGAAGCATAAGTAAATATCATAAAATTAAATTTATATTTATAAATTTATAAATAAAAAAATAATAATCTCTATGACACATGATTTTTTTTAACAGAAGAAATGTTGTAATTTTTAAATATGAACTTTATAACATAAAAGAAAACAGCTATGTAACTCATATTTTTTATAAATATAACGAAATTAATGAAAATAGTGTTAAATTATGAAATTGAAAATAGTTACTTTCATTTTGATTAATTTAATCTTTATATCTTATATCTAATAAGTATAAAAAAATATATTTTTTACGGATATTGAACTCAATATTTGGAAAGTTAAACTTTTTAAATTATTTTAACCCTCAGAGTACACATCTCTGAACAGAACTTTAGAGAGTACACACGGGGTCAAGATGACCCCACGGCTTTCGATGAATTATAACTCAGAAACTATGCATTTTATCGGAATTCAGTTTATTATATTTTTATTACATCTTTGTAATGAAAATTTGCATTTTTATTACAGTTTATTACATCAGATGTACATAAGATTCTTAGACGTACACTCTGAATGTTTATCAATAAAATATTTATAAAATTATACAGATTTATTAATTTAATAGTTTTTTCATCAAAATGAAGAACAAGAATTTGAAAAAAGTGAGTATACGTTTTTTTTTTTTTTTCAATCTTCGTTCGTCAAATAATATGAAAATAAAATTGAAAATTAAAAGAATCTACAAAGTTTATAAAAGTAATTAGATATTTAAAACACAATCAATAAAATTTCTCAATTCATAATTGCTTAAATATTCATAAATATCTAATATAATTTCATAGGGAAGAGGAATTATACAATTCAACTTGCTAAGTTTTTTAGATTCTTCCAACAATCGAATCCTTTTGTTAACTGAATCAAGTCGTATTTTCATCTGATCAACAATAATTTTTAAAGTACCATCTCTTGGTCGATACTTATCGAGACACTTGATAAGTTTGTTACTTTTTGCGAACGGTTTAACAGTTCTATCATTAAAAATCTTAGCAGCCAGATTATACAAAGTTTCTCTTTTTTTTCCATATCGAAAAACAGTTTGTTTCAACAACCCATAAATAAATTTACCTTCAAAGTCTTGAATCTTTTTTTTATAGTCAATGGTGTTTACTCTTCCTTTTTTGATCTCTAATTTAATAGTTTCTCCCCTTTCTTCTGAATAAAAGTCATACCAATGAAACAAATCATCAGTATCTTTAATTGGAAGCAAGGCATTAGACAATGCTTTGGATCCAGTACGTGAGGGATTATAGCGTAACAAATTTGAAACTAATTGAGAGACACTTTTGTAAGCAGCATTATTACACAGTTGCGTATATAGATCGTTGTTCATATTTTCATCATAATCATTTTTTAAATAATAATAATATATTTTGTAAACAATGTCATCTAGGACATCCATATACATCAACTGCTCGCCACTAAAACGATATTTACTACAGAGTTCATCATGAAATAGATAGTCGAATACATTTTTGCCTTGATTATCACGAGCATTGATTAATTCTGGATAAATATTTAAAAATTTATCGACAATGACATCTGCTACATGGTAATTTTCATTTTCTTTTTGTTTTATTATTGTTGGTTCTCACAGTAATGTCGGCTCCATAATCAGTGAGTAATTCAAATAATCCTGGCTTGTCCAAAATGGCAGCATATGACGTAGATGATAATTTAGCGCCAAATTCATCCGTCCAGGGAGAATTTTTAAAAAATTTAAAAACAATTTTACGTGTAAATACAGCGCTAAAATCTGCGCCAGCTTCCAATAAAAGACGAGTCGATTCATCATTATCACAATTAACAATCGCCAAATGGATTGGTTGATCTCCAAACTTTGTTGCTAAGTTAATGTCAGCTTGATATTTATTAATCAATATATATCAACGAAAGGTACTTTGTCTACTATACACATTAAATGCAATAATGTGTATTCTTCATAATTGGGTTCTGGTAATACTTGATTTACATCAAATAATCCACCGTTCAATATTTCTTCGAATTTATCTGTATTATTATCTTTTATAGCTTTAGCCAGACTTTTTGCAATGTCCATAACAGATTTCATGTTCTCACGTGTCTGTAATTATTTACTATGATGTAGAATTATCTGAAAAAAAAAAAAAAAAAAAAACAAATAAAAAAAAAAAAAAAAAAAATTATATTATTATGTATATATTTTTATCATTATTATATTTTTTATTAATACGAATTAAAAATGTAAAAAATCAATTTATTTGTATCTCTCATTTTTTACCCAAAATTTAAGATTAAAAGTCAAAAATAAGTTTTTACAGTCAAAATTAATGTAAAACTAAGTACTTCAGTCAAACTTCAAATTTCAAACTTTGACTTAAAAATTTTGGAACTATAGAAAAATAGATAAGGAACTTTTATGTAGGAAATCAGACCTTATTGGTAGGAAATTAAATTTTCTTTCTAAAACGTTCTTATCAATTTTTATTTCTCATATCTCTCATATTTTAGCTCAAATATCAATCAGAGATCAGAGTCGAAATCAATGACCAAATTTCAAATAAATATTTCTAAAATTCCGTTAAAGTTTTATTGTTAAATGATTGAATACAAAATACGCGTGTGCAAATACATGATTACGAAAAAATCAGGTCTGTAGACATAAATAGTAGTTGAATATTTGTGAGGAGTTGAGAATAAAGAGGAGTGCTACTGCACAGGTCGAGGAGTCCGGATTGCACGTTCCTGGTTGATCTTTGCGCTCGTGCGATCTCTGCTCAGTGCTTGGGATTACTAAGCAGTAACTTTGGACTTGTATAATATCATAAATTCAAATTTTTTTTCACGCTAAATTTTTTGGGAATTAGTTAAATCTTTTTAAACGCAAAGATGAAAAAAAATAATTGTTTTTTTCATAAATTATTATCGTAATGTATAAACAATGGTCTGATTTATTTAAATTTTTCAATTTGAGACAAGTGTTTATGGCCTCTGTTAAACCGGAGCGATTAAAATGATATTTTATTGCCATTTCTTTTGTGAAAAGTTTTTCGACTTATAACAATTCGAATGCTTTATACCTGAGTGACAAGCAAAAATACAAATTCACTTTCTTAAATGTATGTCATTACTTCTGTAATTCTGAACAGAGGTTACGCTTATAGAAAAAAAGGATCAATTATACAAAAGGGTCTGAAGTCGATAGGGGCCATAAACGTCTCAAATAATAAAATTAAATAAATCAGAAAATTGTATAGTAGCAAAGTTCATAATTCGCACGTAATTACAATATAATACCCTTTGTAAATGCTAATTTCTATCTCTATTTGATCAAAAGATAGCGAGTAACCGTTGTTTATAAATTACGATAATAATTTATGAAAAAAAAACAATTATTTTTATTCCTCATTGCGTTTAAGAAGATTCAACTAATCGTTAAAAAATTCAGCGTAAAAAAAATTTGAATTTATAGTTGTTTAACAAGTCCGAAGTTGCTGCTACTTTTTAAACCTCAAAAAAAAAAACCCCGTTTTTTAATCTTTTATTGTTTATATATCTTGTCAAAAATTTTTCATCAAATAGCAATTTTAAATATTAGATCTACATGAAACTTTGACTCATTGATCAATAAATTTATTTTTTATTTATTTACTTATGATTTAATGCCAAGGCAATGGCTAAATGTCATATTTCAATGGGATTTTTTTAAGATACGAGTTACTCAACATTTTAAAAAATTACTTGTTAATCCGTTATTCGATCGAGAACTGACTTTAATTTTATTGGAGATAGTATACTTTAAAATAGTTAAAATAATTATAATATTAAGACTGTACCTGGTTTGTTGTTAAGTAACTTAAATTTACTTCACAAACAATTTACTTAAATTCTTAGACGTGTTTTCAATAAAACTTAAAAAAAACCTTAAGACGATGTTAGCACTAGGATGGCTAGGACACGACTGAAGGAGTTGATTGGCAGAGGAGCTCACTTAAATTTTAGATGGACCCCTCACAAATCTGGGAGAAAAGAAAACTGTGGCCAATTAGAGCCGAATTTTTCGAGAACGTTGCCCTCTCTTCCTAGATTTGCCCACCGTGACGTCTGGGCCTCATCTACCTTATCTACAACACCCGGGTGTTATTTTCCGCTAAGTAGTATGAATTTATTTTAGTCGGACATGACAATTAATATTTTTTTAGACATCGCTCATCGAATATTTATTTATTCATTGATTATTTTGAGAAATTTATTTTGACAAAACTCCAGTCTAAGATGTATAGAAATAAATTGTTACTGTGGGATTCTTGTTGATTCAATGAAAAAAAAAAAAAAACAATAATAATAATAATTGACGTAACACAGTAAGAAGGATACTCAATTTATTATTTGTTTTTTTATTTTTTCACTTTGAATATCAATAACATAAAGTTAAAGCATTCTAAATAAAAAAATAATCTATTATGGCACACGAAATCTTTTTCTACAGAAGTAATATTGTAATTTCAGAGTACGAACTTGATAACATAAGAATACCGCTATGTAACTCATATTTTTTATAAATGTAGTAAAATAAATGATAAATGTAATGAAATCAATGAACATAGTGTTTAATTATAATATTGAAAACAATTACTTTAATTTTTATTAATTTAATCTTTATATCTTATTTAATAAGTACAAGAAATACATTTTTATGGATATTGAACGCAATATTCGCATCGTTAAATTTTTTAAATTATTTTGAAAATTAAATAAATTTGCTACTAATTTTTTAGCTATATACCAATAACAAAAATAATGATATATTTTAATTTTTTTATGTATTAACTACTTACAAACGTTTAACTTCATATAAAATTATAAACTCTTTTAACTATATGCTTTCTCATTGTAAATTATAATCTAATTGTAAATTATTTTATCAAAATCACAAAATAGTCTTGACTTTAATGTTTGGTTTTTACGAAAAAAATCAAATATACTTCATAAGAAATTGAAGAAATATTTTTTTGGCATTAATTTATCTATATTAATTCAAAATTTTAAAAAAGGCTTATTCCGAGCAATGTAGCTGTCTAAAATTTCCCAGTACTTACTTATAGCAGCACGATCAGAGTGTCGTTTAGTGCGACTCAATTCGATGATATCTACAGACCAACGAGCAATATTTAAATCTAATTCCTCATCATCATATTTTACATGGAAAGCTTTTATTTTAGAGAATACTTCTACAGGCCCACCATTGAAAGGCCATCCCTTGAACTGCCAAGTTGGTCCAAAGACAAAAACACTAACAACACGATTCCAGTCAGCGGTTGATAATTTTTGAATATTATCAACAACTTCGTACAGTACCATCGAACCATCTTTCTTAGCTCTTTGAATAGTTATTTGATTTTTCTTTTGAACACCAGCAGCTTTTTGTTCTTCGTTAGTTACAAACTTCAATTGTTCTAAAATTTCTCTTATATTATACATAGTAACTAATGAACAATTAGAATTTGGAATAATAATTATAGGAGTTCTATTCAAAGGTTTTTTCTTTACTAGCGATTTTGATTCTACAGCGGGGAGAGGTTCTGTGATAGTTAACTTTGATTTTTCATTAACTGATATCGAACCATGATAACTTCCCATAGTATTAATTTTGAAACCTTCAGTATCATTAAGGTTAAAAAATTTTTCTTGAACGTAACGATTGTAAGCAGCAGGTTTTTCGAGTAATGGTGTTGTTGGTGGTGGTGGTGGTGGTGGTGGTGGTGGAAATTCTAATTTATTACCTTTATTTTTATCCTGGATTTTTGATTCCTTTGCAATGGTACTTTGTAAAATAGCAATAACATTATTAAATATTTTACCTTTGCTTTGTAAAATTGCAACTCGACCTTGATATTGTCTTTCATGAGAAATAATATCTTTTGAATTGTAAGCATCCATATCCACCATAATTTGGAAATCTGAATGAATTTGAAGTTCATCATTTTCTTTTATAGTCGTACGTTTTTTAGCTATACGTTTGACTATAATAGTTGCGATTGTCTCTGGTGATAAAATATCAGAAAGTGATTTTATGTTGTCAACTGTAACAGACGTTTCTTTGGAAGTATCCAGCCTTATTGCGAGCTGTTCTTTCATTCGCTGTACATCTGAATCTCCAAATTTTGGCTTTTTTGACGTACAACAATCCGGTTCATTTTGACCAGGCCTCTTGACTGGCACTGGAATTTCTAATGGTGAAGTCTTATCTATAGCAGATGAAGTTGTTGTTTCACCACTAAGATATGCCAACAAATCTTTACGATCTGGACGACGTACAACTGGAATATTTTTGGCCGCGGCTTGTCTCACATAGACAGGGTGTGTAAGTTGCACACTGTTCAAAAAAAATATGAGACATTCCAGAGTGTAGTACGTTTTTTCTGTCCCTTCTTTACTGGAGCTGAAATTCAGATAATTATTAATTAAAAATTGAAGGAATTTGCTCAATAAATTTACAACACGGTATTTTAATTGAAAGAAAGTTTTAAATGACAAAATGTTCTTACCCATACGCAAGATAATTAGTTTTTATATTTTTTGGCCAAGAAATTTCACCAAAAATAATTTTATCACCACGTTCTTTTATCTCTTTTTTATTAACATTATATTCTCGTAATAAACTCAAAGGATCCGCCATTGTTAAGCTGTAGGCATGCAGACCATGTGCTCAACGGTATTGTTTTTGTGAATTGTTGCGTGAAATGAACGCGCGTGGAACTAATCGCTTTGTTGGATGAATAGTAGGGATCAGACGAAGTATTAACAGTTTGTTTTGTTATATTATTGTTATAAATATATAGTATCTATATTTTTATTCTAAATAAAACCAGAAAGTTCTTTTAGTTTTCAATATTACAAACATGTAAACAATTTTAAATAAAAATATTTATACGCATATGCAAAATTGGAACAATAATAATATTAATAATATTTGTAAACAAAAGTTCTACTTATCAACAGCTGAAAAATTCAATATTTACTGTATCAACTTCGATAAAGTGTGACAGTGAGTGATCGACAAGTGTCGTTATATATATAGTTAAAATGATTTTCCATCATCGATTTACTGTAAACAAAATCTATCAAATCAGGATCTAAAATTTAGATAATTTAATTTTTAATTATTTTAATAGAAATTATTATCAAACTTGCTGAATTAAAATTTCTTGTTTCTAAAGAAACTTATTTTTATAATCACACAGTTGCACTGTTAATTTTTTAATTGAAAAATAAAAGTTATCCAAAGCCGCTTTTCAACATTAAAAATTCAAATGGTCAAAGAAAATTAATTAAAGAAAAAAAAAATAATAATTTTAAAAATATGGCAGCTCATGTTATGTGTTTAACATCATCAGGAGGTATTCCAATTTTTTTAAGAAAAACAGGCGATGGAAATATTGTAAGTATGTTTATGTCAAATGGTTAATAATATTTTGATGTAAATTTAATAACAATGTCTGTTTCAGATAACTTTTTCAAAAATGGCATCATTAAGTGGTATTCATATGTTTTTAAAGTCACAGGATATTAAATTAAATGATACTCATATGCCAGATACAGTTATAGTTTGGAAAGAATATGTAGAGTCGGTTATTTTGATAGCAATTGCCAGTGGGACGACCAAAAAAATTTTGGATTATTTTATTGATGCTGTATTCAACGCAATGATATTTGTCGTTGGTATTGAGGAAATTAAGAATCCACGTAATTTAGAAAAATTAAAAAAAGATTTACTCGCTTCCAGTACTATTATTGATAGATTGTTTGATTGTTTGGATATTGGTGAAAGAACTAGCGATAGAGTTGAATTGATTACACTGCCAAGCTGTATTTTATGTCCTGAAAATAATTTACTACGAGTAGATAAAATATATTACTTTAACTCTATTGAAAATAGCTGGTACCGATAACTTTTTAATGGGCATAGTGATGAAAAGACAATATAAAAGAAGTTTTATAATTTCATAATATTTTTAAATAATTGTAAATTTTTTATAAATACACATAAATTGTCAGCTGTTTTCAATAGAGATTTTCTAAATAATGTAATACTGTTCATATGAAAATTAATTTATAAAAATTTTTATTTTCAGAATAGTCTTGAAACATTTGTAGAGTATTTGGATTCATCTTACGGTTGTATTCTTGTTCATGGGTGTGTAGCAATAGCAACTGAAAGTTGGTGGGATTTAGATTCTATAGAAATAAAATTACTTGTAATGGCTGCATTTATGGATAAAAATAGTACTGCATGTGATTTTCCAGTATTTTTACCAAAAATGAGTCCAAACGTAAGTTAATTTTTTTTCTATTTTACTTAACTAGTTTTAGTATTATTAAAACAGGTATGTGAATAAGGAGTTTAAAAAAAAAAATTGTTACATAAAATTTATTATTTTATCACGTATTAAAATTTAAATTTTAAATATAATTATATATCAAGGCACTTGAAGAGTTACCATAAAATCATAAATTCTGGTTTATTTAATAGATTTTATATTACATTTTATTTTATATCTATATACTTGTCAATAATTTCATTATTTGTAATTAAAGATACAACTATTAATCATTATTACTGTTATTAATTAATAATACATTTGTACATTTAAACTTTAGATAGCATTCAGACTGATAACAATAACATTGATTGAAGGAGTTCAAATATTAGCATTGTGTGGACCAAAACCAGATTTAACAGAAATTGAAAAGACAGCTATCCAATGTTGGCGAAGTCATATTGACATTTTACGATCAGCTGAAAAATGTTATCCTAACTGTTTTCCATCTACAATTTCATTAGATCCGTCTATTTTAGGGTATTATTATTTATTTATTTAATCATATATCTCTTTAATTTCATTCCAAACAAAAAATTATTTTTTGCCGTAGATTTTTACTGATAAATTACCAAACTGGTAAATATGTTGCTGGTAGAAATCCAAAACCGTCTTCAAATCATCCTACTGGAACCCACAAGTTGGATATTTTACGATCATTTTATTATCAAGCTGTTGAAGTATTTTTAATTTCAGAACCAAGTGATAAACAAGAGCATGACAAAAATACAAATAAAAAGCCAGTTATTCGATCAAAAGAAACTTATTGGTGTTTAGAGTATTATAAATGTCATGCATTAAAAGAAAAAGACAACATTATTTGTATTTTATATACATATACTATACCGATCCATACAATAAGACTGATTACGCGTAAAACGCTAAAAATTTTAATATCAGATAAACAAGTTTGTTGGTAATTAAAGTTTATAACAATATATATTAAATCTTTGATACATTTTATACGTAAATAAATTTTTTACTCATTTAAAAAAAAAGGTTTTTTTTTTTCATTTCCCGCCTAAATAGAAACTTGCCTTTTTATTTTTTATTGGTTATTTACTTTGCGTTTCGAAATAGAGATATAAACAAAAATATCACGTTGTATAAATTAAGCGGTTATATACACATTTACAATTATTTTAATTAAAAAAAAATTATAATAATGTCTGAACCATCAGTAAGTAATATTAAAAAGCTTGAACATCATTCACAATTGGAATTATGTCGTACGAGGCCTCTCTACAGACAAGGAAAAAAATTAACAGCGGTTAAGGTAGCATTGTATCCTAATGATATAAATAATTATAAAAATTGAATTATGTTTACAATTATGGTTTATAAAAAATTTAATTGTACGCTGTTTGTTATTCTTACGTTTTTTTTATTACTTTCCTTGACAAATTAGCTCTATTTGACAGGTTTATACAGTCAACGATGAATCACAGCATATTATCATTTCTGGAGTTCCTAAATTAAAATTACATGATGATTTGATGAAAATAGTTTTACCTTATGGTCATATTAAAGAGTTTACAGGAATAAATGATTATCCTGATGAAGAATTCACAGAATCGTATCATGTGCGCTATGAAAAAATACAGAGTGCGAGGTAACTGATAGATTAAATTATTTTTGTAGAATAATTATTGTAAGTTTTATTTTTATTTTTAATATTAATAATAGTGATAATTTTTTTTAGAATAGCAAAGCGGTTTTTAGATTGTAAAAATTTCTTCGGAGGTTTACTACACGTGTTCTATGCTCCAGAATTGGAGTCAATTGCAGAAACTAGAAAAAAATTAATCCAAAGACGTAGAGATATTTCAGTAAGAATAAAACGGCAAAAAGAAGAAGCTTCAAATTTAAAAGTTGATTCCTTCGAACCTAAGTATAAAAAATAATTATTTCATTTTTACAAATAAATTAAAATTGTATAGTATGAATAAATTAATTATTTTATGATGATTTGATTGCAGGCAGCAATTCAACAGGCAAAAAAAATATCCAACGCTACCATTAACTGAAGAGAGACTACAACAACAATATCCTGGGGAATCTTTTTCAAGCATATATAATGGAATTCCAAGAAATATTGACCCACGTCCAGTTTCTGAACCAAGTCTTCCTAAGCATGAATTACACTTACAATCGAGCAGTAAAAATTATAAAGGCCGAAATACTGAAGGTGTAAAAGTACGAGTAGAGCGGCCGAAATTGATTGACACAAAAAAATTATCTCAGTTTAAAGATTCTAAGGATGTTAACATTTTCTCAGTTGTAAAAAAAGTTGATCAAGGTATAACAATTAAATTGCTTCCCAATGCGGAAAGAATTAAAAAAAGAATCTTGATAAGAGACGAAAGGTACCCTTACTTTGAATAATTATATATTAATTTTATTTTAAATAATAATCTTCAATAGAATTTATTATTTATTTTTTTTTTAGTGTGAGAAATTTATTGCCAAAAGATGATCTTCAAACTTCGATTGAATCTGCAAAAGCTCGTATTCGTGAAGCAATGGAAAAAAATTAATTGATAGATATTGAGATAAAACTCGGTATGAAAAGAAATTTGTAAAATATTTTTTCTTATTTTTAATTGATTATTATAAACATATTTTTATAATTAGATGTTAATTACAAGAAATAAATTTCACATTAAAATACGAAAAAAAATCATTTATTAAATTTACATACAAATCACATATTTTACAATGCACTACTCCATTTGAAGTGCTTCATAAAAATCTAAATTCGTTGTTATCTCTGAGGTTGTGTCTTTATTTTTTTCAATATAATCATTAAATTTAGTATCAATAAAATGTCCACGGAAAGAAATAGAAGATTTACCGACATTTTTCTTTGGAACAGAAACAGCAGGGTTAAAAGCAACTTCTGAAGGGTTGAACTGAGAGTATAGTTCTTCAGCTGATAATTTCCCTATTTCCGGAATCAAAGATCCTTCTCCAGAAGTCGGAACATTACATGCTAAATTTTTAGCCATTTTTTGAACGATGCTGTGATAATGCCTCTGCAAAGCAATCAGCTCCCACGCAGCTGTTCGATGGGCATTACAATATTCTGGATCATCTAATTCTGGTTGATAGAGCCCTTCGCCGACAGAATTATCGGTGTCTAGTAAAATTTCCGTGGTTTTACACAACTGGAGTAATTTTTTTACGACTCCAAGTAAACCAAGAGATCCGTGGTGTTGTAGTTGTAGAGTTACCATTAAAATTCTTTTAATGAATGAATTCAAACGGGCTTGAGTGACTTTTTTTCGACGATTTATTAAGGCCTGAGTAAGACAATGGACGAGAATTTCACAATTTTCTTCATTACGTGCCATATGAATATCTGGTAAAATTTTATACAGATGTAAATAAAATCTAAAAAAGAAAAGAATCATTTTAGAAATAACGTGTTATTTTTTTATTTAGTTGAAAGTGACATTTAAATTTTTTAAAAATGTTACCTGTGAGGGTCAATAGTTAACGCTGAACCATGTCCTGAAAGGATTGTAAAAACTGTCTGAATACAGTGTAATCTTTCTCTTAGCCCTAAATTTCCATTAGCTAATAATTTATTGATAGCATTTACCAAATCCTGGTAAAAATCTAAATTTATACAATGAGCAAATCTGTTTAAAACAAAAAAAAAATTTATAAGTTATTAATTAAGTTTACAAATAGTTTAAATAGGAACTACCTATATACAAAAATTTTTACTTACTTAGCCAATCCTTCTAAACAAGCAGATAAAATTTTTGAATTAGGAAAAGTTTTTATAACTTTAAAATAAATTGTAAAAACAATACTAATTATTTCAGTTAAAACTTTTTCTGCTTGAGCTTTATTTTCTTCAGCTTTAGTTTCAAGAAGTTCTTTTTCAACTTCTTGTAACTTTTTATTTCTCTTACGTTCACGTTTACTCAACGCCAAAATTCTTGATTTATGATTCTGTAGTTTTTTCTGCTTCAATTCTTCGTCACGTTCTTTATCCAAATTGACATTACGAATCCTGAGTGACAAAAGCACTGACAGAGCTTCAGTATGTAATGAATATTCTTTTGCTTTTATCAACTGATTCAATTTACGCACAATCTCAAGCGTTAATTCTAATTTTTTATCTTCTTTAAATATTTGAGAAAAACATTTAGCAACTATTTCTCGTACTTTAGGATACTTATTATTCAAATATGGAATCAAGAAACTGACTATGTTTGAAGAATAATTGAAGTAAGGATGAGTAGCTAATAGATCACACATACATGTGATGGCAACTTCTCCAAGTTGTAATTCAGGCTCAGGAACAATTCTATGATCACCTTTTTTTGGTCTCAATTTTCCAGCCAGCTTTTCTAGTTTTTGTAGATACATTTTGTAATACTTCAATAGTGATGCCTCATAATTTTGTAAATTAAGTGTATCCTTTTTAACTGAAAAAAAAAAAATAAATTACATTAATGTCAATTACAAATGAAAATTAAGTTAGCCGACATCTAAAAATTTTTAGAATATTTTTTCATTGAAAAAATTATGACAAAAAAATAAAAAATAAATTTCATTTGTAAAAAACTGTAAGTGCAATTTTTAAAAAATATTTTTTATTCTAATTTAATTATTGAAAAAAAAATTAAAAAATTAAAAACATCGGCTAACTTTAGTATTATCAATTATATTACAAATGTACTATTAAAAAAATATACTTACGTTTTACTCCTTCTTGCTTGAGCTGGTATAGATGGTAAGACGGTAATATATCTTTGAAAACCTCCAGTAATGAAACAGCCGCAAGTTTCTTAACAGTAATATAAATACCCGGCGTGTTTTCTTCCATAAAGTCCAATAGAACCGTGAAATTTTTTACTTTTATTTCAGGATTTTCCAAGAGAGTACTAGCAGTCAGTCCAATCTTTATTTTCCTTTCATTCAATAGTTTACGCCTGTGAGCCATAAGTTCAATCTCTGACATATCTTTTTTAACTTTAACATTTTGTTTTTTCATTTGGAATGTTTCTATAAATTCAGTATCACTGTCATTTTCAACATTTTCCTCAATATTCTCATTTTCATTAAATTTTTCCTCTTCCTCTTCATCTTCAATGTCTTCTTCAATAACTTGTTTCTTGATAGATCCATCCTTTGTTTTTAATGGTAATAGAAATCTAATACGTTTATTACCTTCATTTTCATTTATTTTTTCTCTTACTTCTTCGTATTTATCTTCCATCAATTCTTCATCAAATTTTCTTTTACTCGCTTTCTTAACCTTAATTTTTTTAGAATCACTATTTACTTTAGAAATTTTTTTTGATGTTTTTACCGCCATTTTAAAAAAGGTTTAATATTTTTAAACAACTTTATTATCTAATTAAATTATTATTAACAATAAAAGATTTCAAAAATCAATTGTAATTGAAAGAAAAACATCAACACGTGGGAATGATTTGGTTAGACTCGGGCTTACAATACGAAAGACAGATGAAAAAAAATATACAATGTGTTCACATTGCTTTCAAGTTTTAGCGCATGCGTCATTAGATAGCAGATATTTTCAAATGGAGCACACAATAAGAAAAAAAAAAAATATAAGTAATTGTAGAAAAAATTTTTTGTTTATTAATACACACTTATAGGTACATTCGGAAAAAATAGTAAATAAATTAATTATTTCATAAATAATGAAATTCGCAGTCATAAATCATTAAATAAAAATACATTCTTAGTTTATTAATGTAAGTAAAATAACTCCAATAATTGTTGACTCTATAAAGTCAGAAAATTAGTTAAGATTTTATAAAAAAACTATTAATAACATTAATTAAACAAGATAATATTACTATTATAAGTTGAAAAATTAAAAATAAAATGAAAAAAAAACTTATTATATAATAACAGTCTTATCTAAATCCCACTGTGCATTACTAGATTTAATTTTCGAATTTAAATTTTTACTGCGAGGTGGTGTATTTTCTTGTTGATATGGTTTAACTGAAAAAGCTTTACTTCTAAATATTTGTTGAGGCGATTTACTTTGAATTTCAGATTTATGACTATTAGAACGATTACTTAATGGTGTGCGTCCTCCCGTCAAATTCGATGACTTTTTATCATTAATTATTCCCTTAGGTTTGTGTGCTGTCTTCTTTTTCTTGATAGCAGGTTCCTTACCAATTGTGTTTTCGTTGGTTTTTTCCAATAAAACATTACTAGTCTTTTCAGGTTTAGAGATTGATTGATCTTGATTAAACTCAATGATAATTTCTTCCGGTTTAGATGTCATAATCTTGGACTTAGGCTCTTCGAAAAGATCTGGCGATATTGAATCTCTCCAAATACGTATTTTTTCTTCAGTATCGACCTTTGTTCTTTTATTAATCAAAGTTGAAATATTAGTAATTATCTCTAAATCTTCTTTCACTGTCTTTATTTCTTCATTAGCACTGGTTAATTCCTTATTCATAATCTCATGAGTAGACGATAATTTTTCATCTGTCTTCATAGCTTTTAAGTTAGGAATAACAGTTAACTGACCATCCGAATCACTTTCATCGGAGCTACATTTAGCAAACAGACAATCGTCGATGCTGGTGTTGAATTCATCATGTAGGTCTAAACGTTTTTTCAAATCCGATGGTTGTTGAGAGACAATATCCGGCAGAACTTGAATTTCCGATATATTGAAATCAGTGGTAGTTTCACAATAAGCCAATTGTGGATTTAATACTTCGATAGTACATTCCATTGAATTATTTTTATTTTCATGAGGCCCATTTCGTTTCGGCGATTTAGGCTTTAAAATTGGCGTTCTGTCAAAATCAGCGGCTGGAGAACGTGGGTCAAGTTTGTGAGTAAGCATCTGTGGTGTATCCATTGCCGGCGCTTCTTTTATCTTTACAACAGGAGTCAAGTATTCTGGCACATGTTTAACCTATTATCAAAAAGAATAATTATTTATTTATTTATTCAGATCTAAACGCCAAGGCAAAAAGCCAGATGACAAAAGTATAAAAGAAAATGATTAAAGTACATGTAAAATCATAATAGTCATTATCAATATGATAGATTGTGACTTATAAATGATAACTTAGGTAAAAGGCCTAGTTATTGACACTGGCCTAGTTGTTTGACACCTGCAATTTTATTCTAATTAAAAAAATAAAATGTTCTTAGAAAATCAATTATTCTTAAAATTTATAATTAAAAAATTATGTTTATTAATTTATCATAGTTGATTTATTTTTTTTAATTAAAATTAAATTGCAAGAGTCAATAACTAGGCCAGTGTGAATAACTGGGTCTTTTACCTTAAATAGAAAAATTGAAAAATAGAAAAGAAAAATGGAATTATTAGTATTATAATTTTTATTTAAACGTTATAAAATTGTATTTTTAATCCCTGACAGGCAAACATCTCAACTATATTTCTCTAATAACAATAAGGGTAAAAGAATTAGTATAATTTAATTTTAAGTGTCCAATAAAGGTAAAAAAATTTTTTATTTTTAAGTAAAACTCGAATAAATCTGTGTAAGGTAGATATAATTATGAAATAATTTAATGATATAAAAATAACTTTTTACATCAAGAAAGTCTGTAAAATTCTAAAATAACGTTGAATTTTAGGATTGGGTACTTTTTTTCTAGTTGGCCTTTCAGGAATTAAAATGAAAAATCAACTTACCATGATAGGTGTCCGTGTACAAGGAACATTGGGTGATCGAGGATCCAAAGTTGTATGTGCTGATGATAATGCTGGAACAACACTATCAATATCAGTTTCAAGATATTGTTTAGGTTGTAAATATTTAGGTATCGCCTTTGCTACCCGTCTAGATACACCGGTAGGTGTTATATCAACCTGAAAAGTACACAATAATTAAAAATAAAAATCTGCCATAATTAAAGATATTTTTTTAATAATTTAAATAAGTATTCAATTGAATAAAAAATTTACCTCGATTGGAGTTCTTACTATGCCAGCAGATGCAGATCGTGGATCAGCTGATAATTCTTTCCTTGTCATGATCGGAGTACATTGATGTTTTTCTTGATTTTTTTCAAGTGTGCCCATTTTAATTTGAGTTGATAATTTCGATTTGCTGTTAACTTCTTCATCGTTTAAAAATAATTTACTTGTTAAATTACCCATGATAATTTATAACGTAAAATCGAAAAATAAATTACAAATTTTTTTAAACGTAACGGTCGTTTTATGCGTGGTGTATAAATAAAATTACACATAAACGTATTTTCGAAAATCAAGTTCACTAGTCAATTATATTATAATTATCACTTTTTTCACTAAAACTTTAATTCAGAATTAACCTATTAAATTTTTCTGTTTATCACGTTTCGTTGGAGATGAAAAAAAATATATAATTATCTCAAAGTTGTAACTGAATTCAATAGTACACAATATACGACGGGTGAGGAATGTATTGTGTTGTTTTCTCAAGTCCCCACCTCATTTTTTTCTATAGTCCGTTACAAACTTTACTTTTTCAAATCCCACCAATCACATCAAGTCTTTTATTTATGATGGCTCAATCTATAAAAATTAATTCTTTTGGGTATGTCGTGACTCAGCTAATCAATAGAATTTTTACTCTACCAACATTAGTTAAAAAAGTATCATTGTTATGTTTTCATTTATATTTTTATTTTTATGTTTTGACATAACCTACAAAAAAAACGTAAATAAGTGTTATTGTAAAGTTTTAATAAAAAAAATAAATAATGAATAATAGTAAAAAAATTAATGTAAGTTATTCATCATTAGTTGGTTTAAAAGCAGAACTTCTTCGTAAACATGCAGAAGTTGAAGAAGTCAAAGCTAAGCAGGCTGTTACAAAGACCAGTTTACCAAAAGCTAGAGCTAAAACAAAAACAATTAAAAATAAAGAAGAGAAAAAATCTGATAAATCAGGAAAGGTAACAGAAATTGAAGATATTAATTTGCTAAATAAATCCAAGTACATGCTTGAAGCTAAATCCAAACTTTATGATAAATTAAAAAATCAAGGATATCGAGGAGGTAATAATAATGGTAATGATGACGATGATGATGATGACAGTAATCGCTATTTGGTGGATTTTTCAAATAAATCGGATGAATCAGAGCCTGAAATTCATCGAGAAGAAGATTATCATGACTACGCTTCAGATCCAGAAGAAGATTGGGTTGAGTATCAAGACTGCTTTGGGCGCACGAGGAAATGCCTGAGAAAGGATTTACCTAAAATGAAAAAAAAGGATAATTTAATCAAAGAGGAAATTGTCGAAAAAAAGATTGAAAATGAAAATGAAAATAATAATAAAACACAGTATAAATTTATTCCACCAGAAAAAGAACCAGAAATAGAAATAATGCGAAAAAAATGGGAAGAACAAGAAGAAAAATTAACTCACAAATCAGATATTCATTATCAGGATGTTTTGTTTGATGAAGCAAGAAATCATGGTGTTGGTTACTATGCTTTTTCACAAGATGAAGAAGAGCGAGCTAAACAACAAGCCAATCTTGCTAAACTTCGGAAAGAAACTGAACAAAGACAAAAAGAGCTTGAAGAAATAAAAGAATTAAAAAGTAAAATGGAATTGAATAGATTGAAAGCTGCTAGAGTTAGACAAAGGATCAGAGCTGGTCTTCCACCAGAGCCTACTGAAGAAGAAATTGCCAAAGACAGTCAGGTAACTACAGCTGAATCTTCTTTACCTGAATCAGCGACTGCTGACTGTCAGCCAGCTGCTTCTACTGCTTCTGAATCAGAAACTTTAACTGAAAATAATTCACAAGATTCTGAGCATCAAGAAAAAAATAATTTGAAGACTATTGAAGATAAAATCAAGGCATTTGGAGAACTTCTAGGCAAGCGGCCGAAATGGCGAGAATTGTCTCAAGATGAATGGATTCAAAAACGTCGCAAAGATCGTCATGGTGAATTCGCTCCGATTTATGATAATTTTACGAGTAGAGGATATTTAAAACAAAGCAGGGACTACCAATTCGTAGCAAAACAACTTGACGAAGAAGATGATCCTTTGAGGCTTAAAATCAATGGACCAGATCCTACAGATTTATGGGACGAATATAGCCCAGACAATCTAGATCAAGAGGATGATGACAAACAAAAAGTGAAACCTTCGGATGCTATTATTACTCCTCAAGTATCGAATGTTAAAAATATTCAAAATTCTACATTGTCAGCTCCGTCAGATATTTCTACAATTGATTTTTCGCAACCTCCTCCACCGATTAATTTTATACCAACACCTGTACCCAATTCTTCTGTGCATTCTCATGTGCCTAGTGAAGTTAATCCACCTGTAACATCTCATCATTCAAGTGATTCAAGTGACGATGACTCGGATATTATTGGACCACTTCCACCTTCAACAGTTACTAAGGATAGTTTCAATCTATCACAAATTCCACTTCCAAGTGATACTCCGCCTGGCAAAAATAAAGAGACTACAAGTACAAATAAAATAAATGTAGATAGTAAAAAAATAGACGAAATGCTAAAATATTTACGAAATAAGTCTGATGGTATAGATAATTAATTTGTTTTATTTATATGTATTTATGAATGTTAATAAATTAGATAAAATTAATATTAAAAAAAGTTGTTTTTTTTTTTTAGTACAGTCTATTTACTTTTAGATTTAGTTTTTATGATATTGAAATCGAGAGACATATGATAATTTTTCGATTTTTTTCAACAAATAAACTATCGCAAAAAAAATTGACTTGTAAAAATCAAAAAAAATTAAAATTCAATTTTTAAAAAATGATTTTTTGGAACAAATTTATTTGTTAAAAAAAATCAAAAAATTGTCAAGTGTCAGCTGATTTTAGTGTAAAAATTTTAATTTTAAGTATTTTTTTTTTTTTTTATTTAATTTATAATTAAAATCATGATACTAAACAGAGTAGTTTATAACTCTAATTATAAGGATAAGAATTTAAAATGTAAGCAGTGAACATGCGCAAAATAAACAACTAATGACATCTATAACGATAGACAAGCATATTCGAGACGTAAAAATGAAACTAGTGTAGACGCGATTTTTCTTAAAGGTCTATAATATTTTTCATTCAGTATTGAGTTTTTATTTCAACGGTGATGGCGTCGAAAAATCATCGATGGCTCGTTGACTCTGGAATTCTACGTAAAAAAAATAATGAAGAGGAACCACAGGAGCTATTGGTGTTTGGATACAGCTGCAAACTATTTCGAGACGATGAGAAGGCCAAAATGATTGATCACGGGAAGCATTTGATACCGTGGATGGCTGATAACGCATTAAAGATAGACAGGTCCGTTTTTATAACCTAGAATCAAATATAAGTCTAGGATATAATTACTATTATTTTCTTCTTGTTAACGCACCAGTACGTTTTAAATACGTAAAGGTATGACCAACAGTGACAAGAGGACGGTGGTGGAGCATCGATAATCAGAGATTGTGACATTCTATAAAAATGACATTCTTCAAAATACTTAATGATATCAGAGAGATAAATTTTGGATAAGAAAAAATCTGGAGACTGTTTAAGATTTCTGCAGGTGTGACCCGAGCGCTGGACAACTTCTTCCTGGAGCGGGGCATCCAGGACAGGTGATGAATGGGCTTCTTGTATCCTTGTCAATTTTCAAGAAGTATCCTTGTTGTCGACGAACTTCCCTCCAGCAAGGTGAGAGACAGGGTAGAGAGTCAATCGACAGCCGAGAATTGTATTTTTTACAGTTGCTCGGCACGGTATGTATTAATGTCCAAACTTGACCAATACGACGTGGTACAGAGCGAATGGTTTATATTTTTTCCCCTGATTTATCTTTGTTACTATGATTATCATTATTATTATTATTATTATTATTATTATTGTTATTAATGTTATTTTTATTATTATTATTTTATTAATAATTTTATCGATTTATACTTTACTGTAAAAAATGTAAGTCCTTTATTCCTGCTATTTTATGAAAATTTCATCTTTCCTTTTTTATTGATAAAATTTATTCTTAAAATTTTTTTTTATTTTTTTTTTTTTTTAGGGATTATATAGAATTGCTAGGTAAAAAAATTCAATTTTTATTATTTCCAACTGTATATAATCTCTTAAGGCACAATATTAAAAATCAATCCCTCTGGCCTACCGTTGACAAAAAAAAAAAAAAAAAATAAAAAAATATACATCCTTTGTACTTTTACCCATTATTGCAGCTTACAACTTACAACACAGACAGGACTTTTTTTATCACTAACATTTTTTTTTTTATTTTCAGGTGCCGAGCAGAATTAAATAATAATAATCCTTAGATAAAATAATTATTTCTTATTCTCTAACTTAATTTTTATGTGTCTTTAGATACGATGGACGCGGGGCACTGGCGGATTTACGAGTTCACGAGCCGCCATCGGGTGGTTTTGATGCACGTACCATCCTGACCGAAGATGAACTTAAAATTGAGCAGCTTTGCGATGAAGAAAGGTATCGTTCTCTCTACAACAATGATGCTGAAGAATTAATGTATCATGGTACGTTGTAATATAAAAAAAAATATTTATCTAAAAAACTAATTAATGTTTTTAATGCAATAATTTTTTTTTCTTAAACAGAGGAAGAAATGAAAAGACTACATCAAGCTCTAGGAAGTGACAATACTTATGGACAAGTCGCTTACAATTATGATGACCAAGATAATCAAATTGGTGTAGGTGATGATTCACAGAGTCCCAAACCATCAGATGGCTCACAAGATGATGACGATCAGGCTTTTACTCTTCCTCCTGAATTAGAAGCGCCCGAAGGCATGGTTATGGTAAATATAAATTATATTAATGTCATGAAAAATTAGTAATAATTAAATAATTGTATGCATACTCATCATGATGAATTATTTTTACAGCCGGAAACGCAAAAACTTAATGCCATTATTACGAAAACAGCGTTATTTATAAGTCGTCAAGGCAGTCAAATGGAAATTTTAATAAAAGCCAAACAGTCAAATAATCCACAATTTGCATTCCTTTCAATAGAAGGAGCACTTCATCCTTATTACAAGCTGGTTCTTGATGCTATAAAACAAGGAAAATATAATCCAGAAAAATTGCCCGAGAAAGAAGAGTCTGGTAAATTTCATAATTCTAAAAAATAACATAATGGAGTATCTATTATTTATGTAATTTTTGTTATTTCAGAGTCTGATGAAGAGTCGGATGAAAATGACGAGCCATATCTACATCCTAGTCTTGCATCGTCATTGACTAAAGTTGAAGCGGTAGGTTGATGAATTTAGAAGGTTAAATAATTAAATAATAAATAGAAAGGTTTATAGTTATATAAAAAATGTCCATTGAGTTTATCAACTCCGTTTGGTAAGCACGAAGCTGAAAACTTTATTGACATTTCAATTATGCGCAGTTGTCGAAGGTTTGTGACGTTGATTGAATAATAAATAAATAATAATATCATTTTCATTATAAATTTGACGCAATAAGATTAACATAGACCTTCGAACTACGAGTTTCTAATAATGAAAAAAAAAAAAAAAAAAAAAATCATTAATAATTTTCTCGCACTGCTAATTTATATCTGAAATGTTTCTGTTTCCAGGGCTGGTTCTGGTATGCATTTGGATCCAATGTTGCGTTCCTTTGCTTTTTTTAAACCACTCTACGCACTACGCGATTTTTGATCGATCTTTCGATATTTGTAGCGATTATTAACAATGTAATATATTTATTAAAAATTAAATTTCTAATTTAAAATAAATAATATCGCTCTTACAAATATCGCTTGACAGATCAACTCTAGCAATTTAATTCATTTTTTTTTAACATGATTAAATTCTAATAATTTTTTTAAATTGTTCAACAGGCGCCAAGTATACCGAGTATACAGTACAAACCATCAGCAGACTGTGCGTATTCGATGTTAGTCAACAAAATTACGGGTAAACCGCCACAATCAAAAAATCCACCATTTTCACCTGAACTTCCTGCTCAACAAGTACCGCCGTCTGAATATTGTCCACCGGTATCTTCACAGGTAATAATTTATTTTAATTTTTATTCTGAAAATTTTTTTGACTATATTTTCAGTCATATTTATAATTGAATATTTTTTTGTCAATAGAATTATGCTGCTTATCCACTTACACCACAGCAATATTCTCACGGTCCAGTAATTTACGGTCCGAACGGACAAGCTCAACAGCCATCAATGGCATTTATGTCAACAGCATCAGTTCCGGATGCTCCATCAACACCAGTAATAAAAGAACCTCCCGCACCACTCGTACCTTATGGACCTACTCCACCTAAACCTTTAAGTAGACCTTCTTTTATTGTCCCACCCGCTGATGTACAAATAATAATTGATAAGATGGCTAGCTATGTTGCTAAAAATGGTCGTGATTTTGAAGCAATTGTGAAAGCTAAAGGAGATGCTAGGTTCAATTTTCTTGAGCTATCTCATCAATATCACGGTTATTATGCACATAAATTAACCATTTATGAAGGTGGTGTCAATCCTAAAGTACTTACGGAAGAAGAGTTGTTGCGCAAACAAGAGCCTCAAGAAGAAAAACAGAAAAGGTTAGAAGAAATTCAGAAAAAACAACAAAGAATGGAAGAAGTACAAAAAAGAGTTAAAATGATCCAAGCGAAAAAGAAAAGTGAAAAACAAATTACCACTGTATCATTTTCAATAAAAAAACCAAAAGATAGTGATACTACTGTGATGGAAAAACGTAGCGCTTTGCCAATGGAAGAAAGCGATGATGAGAAGGACGATAAAGATGAGAAAAAGGATTCAAGTTCTAAATCAAATTCACCCTTATTTGTTCTTGGTGAAGAAAATTCTTCATCAAAACAGAATAAAGAAATGACTACTTCAAATAATGAAACAGAAGAAAGAGACTTTGTTGACCTTACTGATGATATCCTTGAAGATTGTCGGAGTCAAGTTAAACATAAGTCACTAGAAACAAAAATAAAAGACAAGCTTGCCGCTGCTGCTAGAGATAAACTTGCATCTAGCTCGCGGGAAAAACAGCTTCAACTTGAAAGAAAGAAAAAAGCAGCCATGTTTCTTAGCCAAATTCAAGCACCTGCATTATCAAAATCAAATATTGAGATGAGAACTGAAGATGATTTGGATGAAGTTCATTCTATTCCATCGCCAACGCCTGAAGAAGTTGAGGATTCACGGTCAAGAAATAGTTCATTAATGAGTAGATTAAAGAGCGCTGATCTCGGAGTCAAACGGTCAAGACCAAAATCACCGTCAAGATCAAGGTCTGCCTCCAGATCTAGAAGCCGAAGTCGCAGTTATTCTGATAGGCATAAATATCACAAGAAACACAAGAAAAAGAAAAGTTCTCACAGAAGGTAGTTATTAATCATTGAAATTAATTTATTAATAATATTTTTAATAAATAAATTGTATGAAAAATTTTGATTTATTTTTTTCTATTTTAGTTATGATAGTCCAAGTGCTTCAAGATCACATAGAGCAAAAAAAAGTAAAAAATCTACGTCGAGACACAGATCGCGATCGAGATCATCCGGACGAAGAAGTACAAGGCATTCACGAAATCCAAATGATTCCAATGACTCAGACTCAAACTCATCGTGAAAAAAAGATAATCAAATTTTAACAATATATTCATTTATATTTGTATATAAGCTTGTCTAAAAAAATGTTTGGTTTAATACATTCACAAAAAAAAAATACCTAAAGTTTTTTTTTTTTTTTTTTTTTTTTTTTTTTTTTTTTCATTGTTTTTGATTGTTTAGATAAACTAATGTGCGTCAATGACTTAGTTCAGCGTTATATTCCATGGTAAGATTTGTGTAAATTATCTTCTTATCTTCCTCGGTCATTTTTATTCACTGTATGACCTCCAACAGCCAATGGATGTTTACACATAAATAGACTATAAGATGATATTTATGCGTACTCATATTTTTTATCATTAGTAATTAAATTGAAATTGATAAATAATTCGATAAAGTATACACTAATGTATATAGACAGCCTATTTTTTAAAGAATTTAAAGTTTAATTATTATCAAGTAAAGTAATGGACTGAGTGTCTCCTGAGGCTAACGTACTTGAATATGATTTTATCAATTTATTTTGTACGCCAAAAATATAAATGATTAAAAATTAAATGTTACATGAGGGATTTTGATAGACTGAATAAACATAATTTAGCAAGAGTAGTTATTTCATTAATGTAACTATAACGCAAATAATTTATTTTGATTGTTAGATCTAACTAAACGAGTTCTATTGTAATAGTAATAATATAAATATTTTTTAAAAGGATTATTAAATGAAACGACGGAAGTTAGGTGACTTTTGAATTATGATTATAATTTATGAGAGATAGACAACGCGTAGAAGATATGATTATAATTCGTATACCTACTTTGAAGGACATTAAAAAATATAACTATCGTAAATTATGATAGTAAAGTAATAAAGTAAAACATAAATTTTTAATGATAAGAAAAAGTAAAATATAATTGCAAATACGTAATAGCAGTTATGGAAAATTTTAATTATTGAAATCGTTATGATTTTATGCAATAAAAAACTTTCTATCGATTTGATAAAAGTTGAGGAAAAATTTCTTTACAATGACGAAATAGTCGATATAATTTTAAAAACTTCAATTTTTTTACATAATTGTATGATAAGCATTAAGATATTCACAACAATTTATATATTGATGATGTAAGGGGTAAATCGAACACTAATATAAAATATCTTCAGTTATAAAGAATAGTGTCAGTTTGTTGTATCAATTACTCGCAGTATTTTGCTAATATTATTCACAATGGCATCTAAATTGGGTGTAAGTACATCTTTTTGACATAGTTTTATTGTTAACTCAATAGTATTATTTCTTCATCAGATTAAAAAGGAAATATAAATCAAATTTAGAAAATTTTTGGATTTATTAAACACATTTTCAAGATAAATAAATTATGTTTATGACAATCATGTATTGATACCAATCATAGCTTTGGAGTGATTTCAAAGTAAAATTCAATCACATTTTAATCGGATTAATAACTCAAGTATTGATTTAAAGTTTGTTATTCAATAATTAAGCAATTAATTATCTTATATCAGTCAAAATTTTGTGTGAAAATCATATCTATTCAAAATTCTATTTTTTTAATTATTAATTTTTCAAATCTTTGAAAGTTTAGAATTTTCTTATAATTTTAGAACTAAAGAATCTATTTTAAAAGTTTCTTATGGAATGAAAATAAAAATTATATTATTCATAATTATATCCAAATCTTTATAATTCATAACATCCTCAATGTATCTCAAATAACAGAATCAATTATAAGAATTAAAATAGCAGTTAGTAGTAGAAATATCAAGTTACAACTTGTTCGTGTCCACTTTCCATTATCTTATTTTTTGTTATCCAGTTGAGCCTCTTCAATTTCTCCATTCTTTAGTTTTTATTATCAACCGCCTGCTAATTTCAAAATCATTTCAATGTTTTAAGGATCCAAATATTCTCAGAATATTTTTTTCAGAGTTTTCCAAAATGACTAGCAGCATTTAAAAAAATTTGAGGGTCCTTAAAACAATAATTCACAGTTTCAACAAATAATAAAGTGTTTAGGTTTAAATAATATTAAAATTATTTATCAATATCAATGCATAATTTTTTTTAGTGATAAAACTTTTCGGATCATCACAAAGTCATATTGTAACCCAGTTTTCAATTCAAATAATCATCAATAATTTATAAAGCTCTTTTTTAAATGAGTTTTTTTATAATAAATCAATTATGATAAAAAAATTTTTTTTTTAATTCTAAAATAATTGTGATAAAAATCTAAAAAATTAATAAATTTCTGTTGATTTCAGTATCATCTTTTTTGAAACAATATATTGTAGAATTTCTACATTTTTTTCATCCTCTAACATGATATTGAAATTAAGAGCCATGTGATAAATTTTACAATTTTTTATCATATAAATTACAGCAAAAAAAAAATTATTCAATAAAAATTCCATCTTTAAAGGCTCTGAAAAATTATAAATGCAAATTTTTATAAATAATTTTTTATACTAAGTTTATTTTTCAAGAAAAATCAAAAAATTGTCACGTATCTGCTAATTTTAGTTCCATAAAAAATCTCTAGTTCCACCAAAGTTAGCAGTCAAGTGACCATTATTTAATTTTATTTAAAAATTAAATTAGTTCCGAAAAATTATTCTTATAAAATTGCATTTTTTACATTTTAAAACTTCTACCTGTAAATTAAAAAAAATTTTTTTTTGCCATAATTTATTTATTAAAAAAATTATCAAATATCAGTTAAAGTAATTTCCATTCATAAAAAACAATGAAGGGATTGGTTTTTTTTGGCGAGTGTTCTCTAATTTTGATTTGACGAATGAAGAACCCGCAGTCTAAGTTGTAGAGACTCTGAATTTACCTTGAACTCATTATACTAACATAATGTTTTCTTAGGAAGAAGAGTAGTGTTTTTAGCACGTGGTGTATACGGTCATTTACACTTACTGTAGATATACTAGCTGAAGTTAACCGAAGAAAAATAATAAGCACGTGATGTGATGTTTACGACAAAGATTGTACACATATTTGTTGTAGATGATTTTAAAGAGGGGAGAAAAGTCTTTGTACGTTGATTATTTCTTGGCTTAACTTGCCACGCAGTACGCCAGTAAAGTATATAATACCTATATTCATATTACTTATATTAAAAATACTTAGGTGGGGTGAAAGCAATAAAGTTAAAACACATAGTCGCTCGAGCTCAGTCAAGCTTTGGTTCCCGGCTTATTTTGTTTGAATCAATAAGGAGTTTATTATTTCGCGCAAGGACTAAAAAGTCTTTGCGTTTGATATTAGATCCAATAAATCCGTCGAAAATTCTTCTCGAAGCCAAAAAGTTGTATATATTGGGGCCAGAGGTTCCCTGACAATAAGTCACTCTCGCCCCATGTAAATTATATACACATAAATATATTTTTTATAAAAAACATAATTTTACATAAATTCATCAATTTCTTCTTAATATTTCATCATCATCCTCAACATCATGTTTACCATAATGACTTATCGTGCAGCTCAGCAGCCATACCAGACTCAGGGTAAGACCCATAATAAATTAATAATTTTTTTTTTTTAATTTCAAGGTTATGAAGATTTAGGAGTTAAAAATATTCCTTTATTTGTCATAAAAAAGAAGAAATAAATATTATTTTTGAGTCCTTGAATTAGTAAGATTAAGAAAAGCTGTTAACATTGAGTCGTAAATAATAGATTAAATTTATAGAACTAGAGATAAAAACTAGATAATTATAGATTTTTTTTTTTTAATTATAAAATATATCCAAGTATTGTAACGCAAAATAATAATTAATTAATTTTTTTCAGTTTCATGGAAAGAGCAACATCCACACTACTCTTCTCGACCCGTCCGAGAAACTTCGTCCGGAAGCCGTGTATGCGGGAAAATTGGAGAATCAGTTCAGAAACTATTCCGAAGATCCAACCGATCCAATTAAAGAAAGAGTTCGGACCACTTATTACAACATGCATACTAACCAGACTGTCGATTTTGTACGATGTTAGTTTATAATTATTTTATTTTTTTTAACTCAAGTATTATAACTCTTATTCAATGTATTATTATTTTTTTTTCATATCAACTTTCACCAATGATATTCTAAGCATTTTTATCAAATTTAAATATTCATCATCATGTAATTTAACTTACGACGATTCAAAATTTAATGGGTGTATATCATTTGGTAATTTTTTTTTGTATATTATTTTATAAATTTTAAATTGAGTTTATTTGTGAGTTTAAAAACACTTGAATTAATGTAGACAATATTGCTTTGCAATAATAACTCGTTGCATTAAAGAAAATAATGTTTTATTATTAAAAACAAACACCATTAATTTATCACCGAGATTATTTTCGCATTTAATAATGATTTTATAATTCTTATAGCTTATCGTTATCACCACTTCATAAAGCAAACATATTAAGTAAATACATAATCACAGCTTATTTCATAAAAATATTTTTGAAATATTAGATCTTAATAAAATTTATTAAGCGTTAATAATTTAAATAAGTCGATTGGTAAAGACTAAAGAAACAATAAGGATAATTTAGTCGATAACAAGCCGTCTTTGTCACAGCTCGTATGAATCACTGGCTTAAATTTGATAAATTCAAAATGACTGTAAAAGAAGCTTTAATTAAATTAAATGACCTTGTGGATGAAAGTGATCCTGATACGTCATTACCAAACATCATTCACGCTTTTCAAACTGCCGAATCGATCAGAGAAAAACATCCGGATTTAGATTGGTTTCAATTGACTGGATTAATTCATGACTTAGGCAAGGTATGATTGGTATTTTTTATTATATTAATTTTAATTAGATTTTAATCTTTTTTTATAACTATTTTATAAATTATTTTAATTAAACTGATAATAAAATAAGAAAAGTTGATTTTTATTTGCGTTGACGACATTCAAATTATTTTTAAGAATTTTATATGTTTTCTAATTTAATATATTTTAATTTTAATATATGACATCATGATTAAAAAACTTGTTAATGATTCACGTTTAAAAAATTTTTTTTTAATCTAAAAATAAATTTCATTAAATATTTCCGAATCGCAAAAGATTTTTTGAATAAACTTTCCTAACATCGTTAAATAAATATTTGTTGATCAATAATATTTTTCAATTGTAAATATCAATTATTTAATACAGGTAATGGCATTCTATGATGAACCACAATGGGCTGTTGTTGGAGACACATTTCCTGTTGGCTGTGCTTGGGCAGATTCAATAGTTTACAGAGATAGAAGTTTTGATAACAATCCAGATGGTAAAGACAAACGTTACAAGTGAGTAAAGCTTTCTTAACACATTTTATTTTTTAATTGATTCTCTTAAGTAAATTTAATTGTTATTATTATTTTTTTTACAGTACTAAATTGGGTATGTACAAGGCTAAATGTGGTATTGACAACCTGATGATGTCTTGGGGACACGATGAATATTTATATCGTGTACTCAAACATAATAACAGCACAATACCAGATGAAGGATTAGCGATGATACGTTACCACTCATTTTATCCATGGCACGCTGGTGGAGATTACACTCATTTTTGCACGGAGAAAGACAACAGAATGCTTAAATGGATTAGGGAATTTAAGTATGTTTTATATTGACTAAATAATTCTATCATTATTAATTTATATTTTTAAAAGACAAGGTTGATTAAAGTATTTTTTTTTTTTTTTTTTCAATAGCAAACACGATCTTTACACAAAAAGTGAAAATGTACCAGATATTGAAAAACTTTGGCCTTACTATGAAAAGTTGATTTATAAATATATCCCTGGGATTCTAGAGTGGTGAAGAAAACAATAGAAGGTTTCACTTCATTTCTGTAAAAAAATTAAACATCAAGAAATTTAAACAAATTTGTTTTTGTTAACTTTTATGTCTGCAGAAGTTATATCTGTTATAACAACATTGATAATAGTAGTAAAAATTTGTTCAAGCTGATAATTATACGACCACAGAGATAATAAATTTATATATAAATATAATTGTTTATTTACACTATTGATTATTCGAACAATTGATTTTTTATATTCGTTATTTTCATAATAAAGTATATCGATTGTTTTACATGAAACTTTTGTCTTATATTATTAATTATAGCAATTAACAAAAAAAATTTATTAATGATTATGAACATCAATATTTTCACTGAAAAGTGAGATACTTACATTGGCTTTATCTTTTTGCGGATCCTTGCTAAAAAAGTTTTTACTTACAAATTTTGATAGAAAATATAAAAAAAAAGATTTTGCTAAAATTTTTAAATTTGAGCCTCTGGTATTAAAAAAAATGTTCTTGTTAAGACTTTCAATTTGTAGAATATTTCTGCATAAAGTTTTTTCTATATGAAAATTAAATTAGCCAACATTTAAAAATTTCCATAATTTATTTTTTTGAAAAATAATTTTAAAAAATTAAAAAAAAAAATTTCACATGTAGAAATTTGAAAATTATACGTGGAATTTTTTAAAAATATTTTTAATTCTACTTAATTAGTAAGAAAAATCAAAAATTGTTGAGTGTCGGCTAATTTTGGTATCATTTTTTCTCCTTATGTTCAATTTATTTCTAATCATTAAAAAAAAATTTTTTAGTGTCTCACTTCCACTGATACAAACAAAAGGTACAATTTAAATTTACAATTAATTCTCAAGCTGAATAAATAAATGAATACATAAATAGATGGCGTGATTGTTGGTTTCCAATGACAAGCATGTGCATCCCAAAAGTGAAGATGTCCTTTCAGTTGTTTTTTTTATCACAATTTTTTATTGGCTGACTTACAATGTATTAAATATGTGTGCTTGCCTGAATGCGTATAACACAATATATGTATACGGAAAGTGAAATTGTGTGTGTGGTTTAGTTGTGTAGTGTAGTCGATCCAGGAGGCACTGCACGAAACAAGAAGCGGCGGAAGTGGGGACCGTGCGCCATTTTATATTTTTGCGTAGCGTTAAACTAAAATATTGTATGTGTATAATTTAAATTATGCTGAATAAAATAATAGTTAATACGATTTGTGTGAATTAGCCGAATAAAACGACATGATTGTTATCGGCAACGCGTGTATCGAAAATCGTGCCGAAGCGTTAGGACCCATCTACAGTCCGCGTTGCCGCGCATGAAACTCCACTATTTTCTCTCTGTTAATACGTAAACACTATTTTTTCTGAATTTACTCATATAAATATATATCAGTACATATATATTATTTCCCTCATCTTTATCTTTTTAATTTCTTTCACGTCGTACAGGATAAGTTACGAACAGTGCCGTTTTTGTGTAATACACAAAAAAGTTTTATTATTCGATCTGTGTAATTATTAAGTTATTATACAAATATCGCACTCATATATCTGTATATCATCTGGGATATTTATTACAATACTTATTGTAATTTCGACGTTTTTTTTTCTAGTTTCTAACCGAACAAGATATTTACAATCGACTAATAAAATCTGTGACGAGTGAAAAAATTAATTTTTCTGTGAATAGACAATATTTCAGTTAACCTTATTATTAACGTAGTTGAATTTTTTTTTTTTTTTTTTTTTCATTCTTCAATTCATTAATTTTAATAAAATTATTACCTATTTCAATTCAATAAGAGACAAGAGAAAAAAGTCTGTGATATTAAACGGTAATAAAATATAAAAGTAAAAAATAACAACATAGGTAGATTTAAAAAACTTTACGTGTATTAATAACGTCTATACGTTAATAGTTGTGGCCTAGAAGGCACAAAAATACATTAGAAATTTTACTGATTTTTTAATGTGACTTGCTTACATCCATACTGAAATACATATAAATATATATGTATGTGTATATGTAATATAAAAGTTATCAGAAACAAAAAAATACTGAGAAACTGACGAAAATACGAGTGTGCGCGGAAAATAAGGGCTAAAATTTTATTTTAATTGTGACTTGTAACGACGTCCTGAAGATTGACAAGAATGTCTGTTGAGTCTGTATCGAGTGACAGGGCTGAAGAGCCGGACACTAAAAATGAAGGTATATTCATTTCATTACTTTGTATTAATTTTAATTTTTTTTTTTTTTACAGAAATATTGATAAGCTATTTGATAACCAGTGATTGGTATATTGATAAATCTGAATGTTATTAAAAAAGAGAGCATCAGTCATTTGATTTTCCCTTTAATTTATATACTAATACTGAAATAATATGGCTGTAAATTAACCTCTCTTTAGCTTTCGCTCTCTATAATTTATACCATGATTTATAGCCACTATATTTTATGTCAAAGTATAGAATTTATTGCAATTGTTGCAACTACTTTATTTTGATTTTTATTTTTTTTATTTTGTTAATTTTTTACCATTATTTACTGTTGTGTCCATGACTACAAAAATTTAATTTACTGATATTTTCTTTTTTGTCTTTAATTTTAAAAATTGAAGCAACTGCTGCAATAGCTGAGAAAATTTTAATATTTTTTCTGCCCTCCGGCCGGAAAGTGGCAACTTTCTGGCCGCTGCGCTAAACAAAGTTACCACATTCCGGCTACGTCGAGCAGAAAAATAGTATACACACCTTGGCCAGTAAAAAGTAAAGCCTCAGATCACATGTTCGTCAACCTCGGCTTCGCCTCGGCCAACAATTACATGTGATCTGAGACTTTTCTTATTTTACTGGCCTAGGTATATGTAATATACTATTTTTTGAAATACGCATATTTCTCCTAATTACTCTAAAATAAAAAGATTATCAGATACTTTTTATTATTTTCAGTTCAACAGCAAAATCAATACTTTTATTTATCATTATAAAATAAAATTTTTTTATTAAAAATTCAATTTCTTTATTATTCATTCAAATTCAAGATATTTTTTAAAATATTGCAATTAAAAATCATCTGACCATTTATTCATTTTAAATTATAACTAAAGTTGTCTTGAAAAAATTTTTTTATAAAAGTTTGATATTATTAAAAAAAAAAAAATAAATCTTTAAAATTTATCGTTAAATGTTTGTTATTTTTAATATATTTATCTTGTAATATTATATTTCCGTACTACCAAAAAAACTCCACTGTAGATAAACTTGATAAAATTTTTAATAATAAAAATGAAATAAAAAAATTTTCAAGTAGTTCTAAATAATTTATGTATAATGATTTTAATGATTTATACAGTTTAGAATTTTATTAAGTTTTGAATTTTCAATGAATCCTATTCAACAAATATAATAAATTTAATAGTATAATTTCTTGAAGAATTTTCTTTTCTTTCGTCATTCGTAAACACTACCTAAATTAAACTAAAGTACACAACAAGTATAGATGAATATTGTTAGTCACGTGTCATAATTTGAGTGTTCTATTGGTCATTGGAAAAAGAAAAAAAATTCCAAGCTTTCTCATTATCTTTCCCGCGAATAATAGCCATCCATGTCAGTCATTGTAGGGTTGTTAAGCGAGCTGGTTGCTAGTTTTTCACCGCCTACCTCAAATTTTTATTATAAGAACTGAAAATACATTTTTTTTTTAATTTCTTAAGATATCTCGAAAACTTAATCATAATTAATTAAAAAGTAAAATAGTGTTACTAGTGTATTAAAAAATTTTATAAAAAAAGTTTGAAGGAAAAGCACCTTGCTGAAAAATTATTAAAAATTTTTTTACTTCGTAAAGAGATTAAATTGAATAGTTAAAATAATTATCAATAGTTTAATTGTCTGAATAATTATCGATCAGTACTTGGTTTATATTTGTTAGTATAAAACGTGAAAATCATGAAAATTAATATAATTGAAATTCATGAACCGGCAAATAAAAAGCGTCGGCGTCGCAAGCGTAAATTGTCGGCTCTCAATTCCAAGAATTGTTCGAATTCAGATGAAAGCGCATTTTTGCCATTCACTGATTGTAAATTATTTTGTCGCCAATCTATAGAGCCTTACAATCATTATTTCATTCGTAAGTAATTATATTAAGAAAATTAACATTAAAAATTATTTATTTAAGTATCATAATCTGTTTAAAGTCTTTTGTAATTTCTATTGAAGTTTTATAAATGTGTGAGTCAGTAGATTATTTTGGTTTATCGTATTACAGAAGACGAGGCAATTATATCCGTTGCTGTTGCCGGAGAGGTGACTGATTCATGTATTGTTGAAGTAGGAAGAGTAAGACCTCAATTCCAATACACAAGGGTAATATTTTGATAAGATTATTTTCTTTTTCTATTATTAATTCCAAATCTTTATTTGTTTGGCTAACCTTGGTTTTTTTTTTTTTGTTTTATTATATAGGAAGAACTTATCACTATTAAGGGATTACCTTTGTCCAAACGTCGACCTGAATGTTTAGACGCTGCTTATAATAAGTAAGTATAATAAATAATTTTATATAATTACTAAATTAATAAAATTATTTTACATGATGAAGAAAGATTAATAAAATAAAAAAAAAAAAAACAACTGGTGTTTGTTATCTAGCTCTCGCGGCCTCTGGGATCCGGAGAGATGGCATCTGGACAGGAAACGCAGCGAGACGCCACCCGAAGAGGAACAACGTCCTGGGGGAAGAGATCAAGTTATCGATTCGCAAAACAACAAGCGTCGAAGTGGCGATCCACGGGAACGAATACGTAAAGAACAAGATGGTATTGTCTTGAGTCCTCAGCGAAGAAGCTTCAACTCAGGATGCTTTGTCAACGTAACTCAACCAACTTCACGTCGTCCAGAGAGTCCTATTGGAAAACCAGAAGTCGCTCATCGCGAGCCAGTTCGGCGTATTGGTAGTGGCCGATTGTTGACACGAGACATGTGGGACTTTAGACCAGAAAATGAAAAGATGGAGCCTGATCGTCCAGACTACGGGTTCCGTAGTGGTGGTAACTCAGCGCGTGATCGAGACTCTGGCAGAGAACGGGAAAATTTACGCGATCGAGATAACGTTCGTGACAGAGATGATCGTAACGAACGCTATGAAAGAAGATCATTTGGTCGAGACTTTGGTGATCGAGACAATCGTGATCGTGATCGTGGTTCAGACTCAAGAAATGATCGAGGACATGTAATGGATCGCGACAAAGATCGAGGTGGTAGAGACCGAAAGTATGGATCAGATCGCAGAAAAATTCATAGTCACGATTCACGAGAACCCGAAGAGCCTGAATGGTTTAGTTCTGGTCCCATTTCCCAACATGATACTATTGAGCTTCGTGGATTTGATGATCCTCCTGAGGAAAAAAGTATCAAGTCGAAGAAAATTTCCCCGGCTCAAAAGAAACGAGGCAAAAAATCGGTTAATGAAAAAGATGATAAACCAAGTGAAAATTCGGCTGGCCCGAAAGGACGTAGTACACCCACTTCCATCGATCAACCGACTAATCCTGTACCTGCACCGCATTCACCTATCCTAGAAAAACCAGAAAATGAAGCGGCTAATGAAAAAAATCAATCTGAAAGCAACGATAATAAAAACACTGAAAATGTTAATCGTGAAAAAACAGAACAATCTGAATCAGCTAATAAACGTGAAGCAGAGAACTTAAATTTTAATCTTGAAGATTTTCTCAAGTCAGACAATCTTCCTGGAGTTTCTGGATTGTTGACAAACGGTGTTGGTGCAAACAGCGGGAGTGGATCACGTTTTAGTCAGTGGTTTAAAAGAGAAAGTCCTCTTCAACAGAACGACAGTCGTAGACCATCCATTCAAGATGAACTGCTTAATAATTTACTCAGTGACATCACTGAACCTAACATTCAAGTACCAACTGTTAATGAGTCAAACACTTATTTTGCACCTATTTCACCGGCCAATTCAACTAACATCAACAAAGCGCCTTCAGCTAGTGAAGTTAAACTCCTGGAGATGTTACAACGTGGCAACAAATCTAATCAAAATGGACAAGGTGACACTGCCATTAATATGGTAAAGATGTTAAAAACTCCTTCTGTTAAAGATATAGGTAAGAATAGTTTGTATTTATTTTTTATTAATATTGCAGGCATTTGTTGTGTTATAAATAACTGCAAATAATAATTTTATTTGATTGTAGAAGTTGGAAGTAAAGGGATGCATAGTTTGGAAGAATTAGAAGCCAGTTTGAGAGGAGGTGTACCACCTCAAGTACAACATGTTGAACAACAAAAAGTTAATAAAACAGAGGAAGACCTTTCTGCATTTAAAAAACTCCTTGCTCAAGTTTCTGGTGGTCAAGCTGTACCTGCTGCAAATGGACTTAACCCATCAAAAGGTCAACCCATTACTCTGATGGAATTGTTGAAAAATCAACAACCTCAGCCACCAATTCATATTCCGCCTCATCAGCCAATTGTGCCTGAGCAACCTCATCCTAATTCATTCGGTCACGTTGGTCCGCTAGGCCCTACTCAGCATGCTCATCAAGCTCAGATGCAACATGAAAATTTGCTTAAAGTACTGAGAATACAGCAGGTTCGTTAAATACTAAATATTTAATTTTACTTATTTTGTTTTATTGGATTATTCAATCTATTATTTTCAATAGCAACAGCAGCAGCAACAACAACAGCATCACCATCACCATCATCCACAACAGCAACAACAACAACAACAGCAGCAGCAGCAGCAGCAGCATAAACGTCAACAACAATCAACTGATATGCTATCAATGATGATGGGTACTCAAAGAATGGTTGGAGTAAGCCCAGTTCCTCAAGAAATGCAGATGTTAGGCAACAATGTACCGTCCAGTCGTGAACTTTTACAACGCCCTGAAGCCCAAGCTATTATTCAGGGCCTTCAACAAGGTGAAATTACTCGACAACACTTAGTTCAACAGCTTCAGGTTAGTTTTATTTGTAAATAAACATTATTGTTGATCAAGTTAAGGTCTATTCATTTTTAAAATAATTTAATAATGTATTCTTAATCTATTTTCAGAATCCAGCTATGCAACATCGTCATCGTGAGCTTTTGATGAACATTTTGAGAATGTTTGGTAACACTGCTTCGCGTACTGTCAGTCCTCATCCAGGTTCAGGTGTTTCGCATGATCCAATGATTCAACAGTTGTTGTATCAGCAGCAACAACAACAACAACAGCAACAACACCAACAACAGAGAGTTCCTTCTCCGATGAACAACGGTAAGATTTATAATTTTTTCTTTCAGTCGATAAAAATAAGTTATGCAGTGAGAAAAAAATTTCTTTGATGATAAATATTTTTAATTATTCGCAAAGTTTTTTTTTGTCTTTTTATTGTCAATTACACTTTTTTTGTTTTTACACTTTCACTATTTTGAATTGAGTCTAATTAAAATAATAATTAATCTAAATGAAATATTTTATTCGGGAATGCAGCGTTATGTCAACCCTCGATAATACCGTCTAATTTAGTATCTAACTCTAATCCATTATCAATGCAACATTCAGGTAAAATAATAATTTTTGAATGTAATTTTTTATAATAGGTAATATTTAAAAATTTTTTTATAGCAATGTGATTTTTGTCCAAATGAATTTGATTAGTTACCGTAATGATTTGTCGTTTTAACAGTGATTCCACACAGAGCACCTTCGCCCCGTGATCTTATAATGCATCCGCAATCCATGATGCAGAATGCATTGATCAAAAATAAATTGGAGGAACAACGTGAAAGTTATCGTAAACGGCAGGAACATCAGCAACAACAACAGCAGCAGCGTATTGCGAGTCCGATTAACTCACCATCAAAGCAAATAATGAGTCCAACACCACTTGCTTTTACACCAACTTCTGTATTGCGAAAAATGACAGCTGAAAAGGAACCAGATGGTGCGGATAATAAAATTGAACATGATTCATTAGAAGTAGCTCGAAGAGAAAATAAAAAAATTAACGATAGTAACTGTATAACGCGTAAAAATTCGATAACTTGTAATGTTGACAATCTATCGGAAAATAATATAATTTCAAATTCAAATTCGGAAAATAGTGAGGAAAAAGATGATTGCGATAAAAAAAATAATGTCGAAATTTTAGAATCAAAGAGTGAATTTAGTAAAGAAAAAGAAAATGATGACACTAAAAAATTGTTGATTGAAGTAGGCGAAATTATTTCTGCTAAGAATGTAAACTCTTTTGAATGTTCAGAAAATCGCGAGAAAAATATTGAAGTCAACAACGATAATAATATAATTGTTATGTCCGATAATTATTTAAATGAGGAAAAAAGTGACGATAGTATTAAAAATAATTCGTTGATAGAAAATAATGAAACTTGCGTGAGGGTAATTGAGTCTATTGATAATTTCACAAATTCACAAAATCTCGGGAAAATTGATGATAATGATAAAATTAATAATAATTCAATGATTATTGAATCGGAAAATGATTTAGATGAAAAAAAGAATATATATACCGAGAATTCGTTAGTTGAAAAATCTGCTTTATCCGAAAAATTAGTTTTCGACTTGAAGAACAATTCTGATGATGATTATAATACAGATATTAACAATCTCTTTACTATTATTGAGGAAAATTTAGACGTACCCGCTGGCGTGGATTCCGATACTGATATCATTAGTAGTAATTGATTCGATGGAAATGTTACAGTTATTATGAAAAATGTCAAATAAAAAAAGCCAATTGTGGCTATAAAATAGTTATGTTAGTTAAAAGCGTGGTTTAAATAGCTATGCACAAGTATAACTCTACTTATTTTTGATGATAAAAAATCTCTACTGATTTAAAAGGCTCAATTTTTTAGCGTCTTATTTGAATCGATAAAATTATGAATATATCGCTGATTGATATTTTTACAAAATGAAATAAGTAGAGACCTTCATTTTTGCATAGTTACTATGCTTATATTTTTTTGTTTTAAACGTTTAATCGTTTGAATGGAGAAGAAACATTGTTTATTTTTTTTTTTTCTTGATACTTTCTATGATTTATTATAACTCTTACGAAGTAAGCATGATTACTGTTGTGCGTTTGCTCCTTCATTCTTTTTTTTTGTTTTTTTTTTATTTTACTACTGCTTTACTCCTTTCGTAGCTGATCACTATCGCATACCTGCTACTCTTATTTATAAGAATGAATTATTATATCATTCTATAAACAAAAATCTATTAATATTACTTATGCGTATGAAACAATAAACCACATATATATTGTTCACACGCACAATTGATAACACACATGTTAACCTTTTTTTATACTAATAAAAAAAGAACACTATTAATACTATGATTATTTTTTTCTTTCATATCTTTTCTACACTTCCGTCTTTCACTATGCATGGCTTCCGCTTTTTTATAATAATATTCTAAATTTAATTTTTAATGCAAAAAATGTAACAATATAAATACTAAATTATTGCTGCTTCAGTTAACAATAAGAAGATAGAGTTATAATTATATTTGTAGTTAATCGAACTAAGTAAGAATTTTTTTCATGATATAGGAACTGTTGACAATTCAAAAATGGTATCTCAAAGTCAAGTAAATCAAATACAGCAAATGCAATCAGCAGTACAAATAATTGCTCAAGCTCAGGGAGTCTTCTCACGGCAGCAAAACACAATGAGGACTCAACCAAATCCACAAGTACCTTGGACAAATCAACTTGTCAATAAACATCCTGGTACGTAAAAAAAAAAAAAAAAAAAAAAAAATAATATTGATTTTTAAATCTAAATAAAGTTCATAAATATTAATTGTTGAATTATTTCATTTAGGACGACCAATTGTGAAAGGTGGTGCTGCTAATCAATTTCAGTATGGTAATCCAGTTAATTATCCACAACAATCACAGCCGCAGCAACAACTGCCGCAACAACAACAACCTCCATCGTCGCAACGAATAACGCCGAGTGTTTTTGGAAACACTGCACGCTCAAAACATACAATGTCTTCATCGCTGTCACATCAAAATTTTCCTCCATATAATATGACACCAAATCCGGCTATGAGCAGAAGACCAGATATGACGGCAGAATTTGCACGAAAAGTGGGACAAGTTACCAGTATGGATAATGAGCAACCACAGCAGCAGCAACGTAATGTCAATTCTCAGGTTCAGCTTATTTTAAACCAAAATTATAACACTAATCGAACAGGTAATTGTTATTGAACAATATTTTTTTAATGTATCTCTATTTATATTCTTAATATTACTAATCCTTTCTATCACGATCTTCCTCTCTAGATTCCTTAATCCTGCAAAAACAAATAGTTTGCAATGGTTATAAAAAACTGGCATGAGTTGTTCATTTTACTTATAGAGTGATTGATTGAATAATTATTTTTTTTCTGTTGAGTATATTCTTTACAATCTCGGCTTGGTCCATCACTTATATTTTCCTTATTCAAAAACTATCATCATATATAGTAAAAAATATTACATCATATGAAATCATTTTTTTTTTTTTTTTTTTTTTTTTTTACTAAATCAGACGGTCGAGTAATGCGACCTCAACAACCAATTAGTATGGGTAGACAAACATCACCAGGAAGCAATGGAGGAAGTCTTTCACCTACGTCTAATCAACTGGCTCGATGGTTTAGTCCCGAGCTTCTTGCTAAAGCAAGAGCTGGAAAATTACCAGAGCTTGGTCAATCTAATGTTTTATCACTTGAAGAATTAGAACGACTTCAACAAGCTTCAGCTGTCGTACATGATTAGTTTTTTTAATTAAATTAATTCAATGGAATAAATAAAATTTTTAAAACAACAGTGCACTAGAAGTCGGTAGCAGATAGAAGAATTAAATTTAAAATAATGTGGTATGACAACTAAAATTGAAAAGCTTCATTTTTTGATATTCTATTGGAATATGTTGAGTGATAAGTGAGTTACACGCTCTCCTTGATTATCGATTAAATGATATTTTGTCATTTTAAGAAAAAAAAAAATAAAGAAGCATTGTCATCTATTTAAGAAAATAATGTGAAAATAACCAACAAAAAAGTCAAAATATGATTTGTTGTTGGGATTTAAAAAAAAAATAATAAAATGAACAAATAATAATAGTTATTTTATGTTACTAATTACATACCATGAGTGTTTCACCACGCTGTGTGGATTTTATTAAATCATTGTTTTAGACTGTATTATTGAAAAGACTGTTATGCTACAAAAGGTTTTGTCTAAGTAATGATCTATCTTACATTATTGGCAAAATTAAGCCAGCAAACCAGTAAGAATGAAAATACCATCCTCCAAAATGAGAATAAATTAACATTAACGCCATTAATCTCGGTGCCGTGAAAAAGATAGTTAGAAAGTCGTTCACCGAGTTACATGCATAAATAAAATTATTACACAGTTTATAGAAGTATAATTACAGTGTCGTTACTGAAAATAATCAAGAAACCGTGAATTTAACGAACATTATGAATTGGTGTCAAGAAATGCGCGTCGATCGCGCTTATGAAACTAAAAAACTGATTCTACAAGAAATAAAATAAAATAAGACGACAAGTATTGTAATAATAATAGTTCATGAATAAGAAAAGTGATTATTAATATATTATTAATTTGACGCAGAATACAATTATTATTGATGTTTGCATCCAAGTTAGTCAACTGCGTAAATTCTTTTTATTTTTTTTTTTTTTTTTTTTTTTTTTGTTATTTAATTTAATTTATTGTTTTTATTTTTTATCCAAACCATTTAAAGTTATAATATTAAATTTCTTTCTTTACATCATTATGTTCACAAGTTGTAAAAGTAATTATTTTATCATCAATAAAAACGTAAAGCATTTTTTCGCGGTCAACTGATATTATTTATATTTTAAAAATTTTCAACCAGTTAATTACATACTATATGAAAATTTTGTTAATTGAAAAAAAATTATATATAAACATAATATATAATTTTTATGTCCATTAATGTAAAAATTTTCAATGATATTAAAAAATAATATGATATTGTAAAATTCATTATTAATGATGGAATACTTAATTAAAATGAAACACGAGCAAAATGACATTGGCTTTCACATAAAAAAACATGTCCTAGATTTTTATTATCCAGTAATGTAATAATAAGTTATAAAAGATATTTTAAACTTTTTGCAAGTGTTTACTTATTCGGCAGTAACAACACCAATGACAACATTATTGAGTGTAGTCATTACTCGAGTAGAATTTGGAATTAATTTAAGATGAACTTACATGTAAACAAAATTAAAACATCTCATAATTTAATGGATATACTTATAACGGTTACCACTCAAAAGAAAAAAAATTTTGGATTGATATTTATGTATATCTACTTTATTTAAATGAAAATATTGATTTTTTTTTTTCTTGCTAATTAGTTGAAAAATTTTTCAACTTCTCGCTAATAATTTTTTTTTATCTCTAAAATAGTGTATAAATATTACTACGACAAATTAAAAAAAATGGATATTTCTTTTATTTAAATACATATTCAATTTAAAGTGTTATGGTAGATGAGTCTACTGTTTTTGAGGTCGCAAATTATTATGAAAATTCGTTAATTTATTTTTTTGTCTTCAGTAAAGAAGAGAAAGAAAAGACAGAAAAATTTATAAAGAAAAACACTTTTGTACATAATTTTACCCATTATTGTATGGATAAAACATTATTAATACAATCTGGAAATAAAAAAGCTAAATTATCGATGTATGTATTGACTCGATAACTTGTAAATAAAGTTATTAAACGTAATATGTGAAAACTTGATAATACTCGAAAATTATAACAATAAATTAAGCTAGGTGATTATAATTGTAGGTTTTAAAACTAAAAAGGCATAAGAATTATTGATTTTTTTTTTAAATTATCAATTTCTAAATTTATGTCAAATTTGTTAGTTGAACCTTAGACCTTTCCAGTTCTATTTATTTTAATTATTTAAAAATATTCTGTTTAAATTGAATTAAGCTACTAGATTTAGTTTCAATGAAAATCTCAATTAAATAAAAAAATCTGGTTTTTAGATTTTTTATCATTTTAACGCACGTTTCGATATTCATCAATCGATACTTGATTCATCCACTCGAAAATGAAAATTAAAAGTTGAATGATTTCGATAGTCTTAAAATCGATCGCTGTCAGACAAATTTATAATTTCTCCTAAATCCCACTGATGGCGCCACTGTGTCAATGACATAGCAACAAAAGAGTAACGCCTACTCCCGTTCAACATAAATACATGAAAACGCTCTTCTGACAACTCGTTTACTACGCAGATCCTCAATTCTTCGGAGACGTAATGTCAGCGTCGGGCGTTCACTACCTAACTCTTTTCGAGAATTTAGGTGTCTCTATTTTTTGTATAGTAGTTATACATGTTAGATAAGCAATTGTGAGAATGACGAGTCAAGAGAGTATACATCGCTGATATCGTGCTCCTAAACAAAAATAAATAAATTTACTATTTCTAAATTTAATCGATAAAAAATATTATTTGTGATAGTTTATATAAATTCGTGATAATTAATCTAAATTGATATTTATATTTTAAACAGTGAATATTTCAGAAGATAAATATTAGCACCGTATACCAGCAGCAACTTTACATCATTACATTATATTTTGTAGCCAGTTAAAAATAAAATAATATGAAAAAAAAAAAAAAAAAAAAAAATGAAAATCCCATACCTTCCTTTCTCTAAAATACTTGTTGTTAAATAACGACGTCTCGTTATTTAATACTGCTGGACTGGGGACATTTGTATAATCTGAATACTAATAGAAAAAAATAATATTAGAAAGTAAGTTGTCATTACGTTGACAATCTTTTTCATTACAGTGATTTTATAGAATTTGATTGAAAACAGAAAAAGAGTGCTATTTTTATGCTAGAATAAAATTTGACACTTACTATCAGATTAATCAATCACATAGATGCAATTCGTGTTGGATAATATTTCATAATATCTCGAGTAAATAAATAATAAATTTAGAGTACATCTATCAGTAGGTTGTATTATAAATAAATGTTAATCGGTAAATATAGAAACAATAAAATAAATCTAGATAACATTTAGAACAGGCGGTAAGTATTATTCGAGTTGGACCGAAAATATTGCCAAATAAAAAAGTCGATTTAGTGTTAGTGGGTACGAATGAACCCGATAATTTTAATTGGAACGTTGCAACATAAATTAGTTTTACCCGACTTATTACTGAATAATGTCAGCCATTATTGTGAGTGAATATATTATTATGACCATTGGGTTTCTCGAGTCTGCGTTCTTTGGCACAATTATTATGTTGCGTTTAAACCATTAGAATGAGTTCGTTTGATATTTTACTATTTGCGCGGATACATATACTTACGGAGCTACTATACCACTTTAAAAGGGTATTAGGTGACAGTACTCGGGGTTCATTTTTCATATCGATTAGGTTTTATTCATTTCTATTGTAATAGCACTTCACTTCTAGGATTACATTGAATCTGTCAAAATAATTCAAAATTAATAAATGTGACAAATAAGACAATTTTAATAATTACCTTTTTTCACAATTTATAAGTGTTTGATATTTATAATATACTGAAAATTCATGACTTACTCAATAACTTTGTTAAATATTGTGGCATGGGCATTAATATTGCCATTTGTATTCATAAGAGCTTAATATAATTATGATAGCTGTGCGTGATGTGTTTCAAGGGTTTTTGATAAAATACTACATAGATTTCCGTGACTTATACTGACCCTTCCCAATGAAAAAAAGATTAGAGCAAATAAAGATTTAAAGACTATTTTTGCTATCTTTAGATCGTGATTCATTACTCGCCAGTTTTTATTTATTTGCTGAGCCATGTACTATTGCTATAGATTATCAGGAACAAAAGAGATCTACTCATCTACAGAATACCTATTGAGTTTAGGATATATGTATGGATGGTTTAAGATTTCATAGAGAGAGCGCTGTAACAATGAATAATGTCCATTTTTTATAAGAGCACTCAACAAAAAAGACCTTAGTGCGTGTTACCGAGTTTTTAAAAATAGTGATTTATATATCAACATTCATTAATAATAGATTTAGTGATATGTTAAGTATCTATTTAATTAAGACTCAGCTTTGTCATCTGTTGAAGATCTATTAAGCCTTGATTTTAGACTTTGATATCAAGAATAAGTTTTACTGACGAATAAACTCGATAATATAATTGGTAAGAATAAAACTATATAAAACCATTGTATTGTGAGCACTCGATTCCGAATAGTCGGTTGAAAATACTTTGAGAAAGCAAGATGAAATGGTGCTCAAAGCCGCCTTAAGCATTATTTTTCCTGTAAACTGAAAAAAATTAGATATTTAACGACACCCTTTTTCACCCTTAAGTAATTAACTTATAATTAAGAGAGGTATTGTTAGCAATTAAAATAAATCATTCATACCTAAAAAAATCTCCGTCATTTAATGATCTCAAGATTTCATTTTTAAATTATGTTTTTCCATAGCAAAAACCATTCTATCGCTTAATTGGAGATGTTTTGACTCCTTTCTTGTCTTACAGATCAATTAAGGTGTCGTACGGGAAATTATATGCTGAAAAAATAATCGCATGGTTTGTTTTTTTGCTTTTACAACGCTAACTTTAGTTGTGGCTTTTATTTCTGTGTGCATTTATTTATCATGAACTTTACAAACCTTTTAATGAAAAAATATAGTGCGCTATATTTTTCATC